AAACGTTGCAAGATTACATGAGACATGTTGAGCAACAGTCTCATGGTCGCAAAACACACAAAGACAGCTGCGATTCAAGATCTTAAAAAATCAAGCTAGACAAAAGTGTAACATAAAGCAAGTCAAATGTAGAACTGATTACTATAGTAATTCCTTCATCCCGTCAAAAAACTTTGGAACGTTACCTGATTCTATTAAACAGAACCCTTCGCTTTCTAATTTAAAACGCTATTTAAATGTAAACAATCCAAATCGCAACCCCCCTCAATATTATTATACTGGTAAACGTAAGGAACACTGCACACAAAACGAATGTAGCTCACTAAATAGTCATTTATTTTCTCGAAATATTGTCAATAGCCCTAACTGTAATTGTGGTGAGATTGAAACTTCCGAACATTTTCTCCTACACTGTCCCTATTTCAATGATCTCAGAGATAGATTTATCTATACTCTTCCGTATTACATAAATTCCAACATATTATTATTTGGTGACCAAAATCTTTCATTGGCAGATAATGTTCTGATCTTTAAATCTGTCCAAAAATTTATTGTAGCTACAAAAAGATTCATGTGATCAGTTTTCCCCATAGTAAATATTCACTACTCCATCTCTCTTGGGTATGTTACATCCTGTCAACTGCATGTAGCAAGCGTCGTTCATTTTTTTCTTCTTCATTATATCCCCAATCTTTTATTGTTATATTTCCCAAAATAGTATTTATATTTGTAACTGCACCTGTAGTTATTCTTTAATTATCTTCTACTTTATGTCAACCACTTTCTTTTGTTTGTTTTTTTTCTTCACATACATATTGTACATCTTTAAGATTCCTTCCGTATAATTAGAACATGTTTCATTTGTGTAATTTAACATGATTTCATATTCAATATGTATGTCAATCTCAAATATTGTTGTAATACAGCTCAAAACCGTGTTATGTAACTATCTAATAAGGGTCTGTCATCTTTATCATTAATAATTAGGAAACGGATTAGTATAAGTTTTTGAAACTTGTTTCCGAATCCTTTTTGATCTTTGTACTTCTTGTCTGTATTTCTTGCTTGTCATGTTCAAATAAAATATATGGTTTAAACTAAAAAATCGTGCAAAATCGTGCATCACTCTTACGAGTACATAAAACGTTGTAAGACGTTCGTACTAATTTTCGTGCGTTGAATTGCGACAATTCTGATCCCATTTGGTCGCGTCTGAATAGTGGGCATGTTGACTATTTTGAGGAGACTTGATGCGACCACTAAAACACATGCAATGAATGCGAGACATCGTGCAACGTATGCGATAGCTCGTGCGAAGCTAAAATTTTCCGATCGCAAAGTGTTGTAAAGTGCTCGTGCGCCAATTGTGAAAGGGCCTTTAAGGACAGGTAACTCAAGTGTTAAAAATGATCAACTAAGTGACGAGTCATGAGTTATCGTTTATACGAATGACATAAAGTCTGCTTCAGTTTGTAGGGTTCCTTACATTGTTTTGTACACAAAAGTGTTGATCAAACTAAGGAGAATGTCTTCATTCTACCTGAAATAACCTGACCAAATGAATGAGGAACGGACTATCCAACTCTCTTTGACGACTGTTTTGAAGAAGAAAATATAAAGTCACGTTTTTGGTGTGTGTATTTTTGCGCTTCCTATATAAATACATATTTATCTACAAGTATATGCAAAATTTATTATCTTATTTGTGCTAAAGCACGAAGAAGAACGACCGAGCATAAAAATTTAATCAAGTTAAAATGTAGAAGGGGGTAGATTTCATTATATATTTTAATTAAAAATTTTACTTATATGTAATTAAACAGTGTCCGCAAATTACATGGTAAGTAAGTTTAACATTAGTGCTAAATTTTAAAACCACTGGATTCTACTTACACATGTACACCAAAGAAATACTTGGGAAACGATATAAACTGACTTGCTTGAAAACAATTAGATACCTCGGACTTGTTCTAAACACGTTTTGGCAATAAGTTATCGTTCATAACATCGAACCCTAGCGGCAGTTGAAAGGCCTACAATACTGTACGATGCTATCAATGTCCATTCATAGTTTGACGAGAAATAAAAAGTACTGTCGCATGTGAAAAATTTAGTTAATATGATATATCAAATCAAACAAAGCACAGTTTAATTTATAAAGAAAATGATAATTAATAAAATAAATACATCTCAAAATTGATAATTTAATTAAATACTTTAAAAATACATGTACAATGATCACAAAAACAAAACTTAATATTGTTTTTTCTCAGCAAAATCAAGTATTTCCCCATCCTCCAATTACTGTAGAATCCCCAATATACATGTACTCGAGGAAATAATAATTATCAAGTAATTTCGCGAGAAGCACATCCGCGATCGCTTTAATTTCATGGTCTGAAATCCATGTAAAATCTAATGTTTAACAGTCCATTCTTCTTGAGATTTTTTGTCTAATGCCCATTTCGCGATATTAAGAAGAGTATACACACAATATAACTAAATGTTATATACATATACAAGGTACCGTATAAAAATCTGAACATCTGGGATATACAGTTCCGCGCACTTTTTAATCTCGCAAAGTTTTTCGCACAAAGTTAGGTCAAAGTACTTAACATTATCGAACTTCAGTATGCGACATAACCGTAAGATGTATAATTGCGCATCTCATTTCTTTGATACATTTACTATTAAGTTGAAATTTTCAAACTGACTTCTTAAAAGCGGGTATCTTTCTAAGTACTTTGCCCATTTATGATATTCGACTTGGTTTTGTCGAAATGTGGCACCGAAAATTGACAACGATGCAGATAGAACCAGGCCAAAATATAGGATAATGATGTATTGTATATCTTTTATAATATTTAACTGTTACTTATGAAAGGATTTTTTTACATTTACGGTTTGAACCTTTCTTGCGGTGCGAAGTATCTTCATGATGCTAGATTTCAGAAAGTAACTGAAAAAAGTCAGCTTCTTAACAAAGATAGCAGTCGTACAGATGGGAAATATTGTGATAATCTTGCTCCTCGGTGCCATGTTAATGGACAGAAATACAAGTTACAGGAGCTGCTCTATTTCTGAGTCTAGGCAAGGTAAAAACAAATGGCTGCTTTAAAAGAATGGATACTATGACGGCACATCTGCAAATGGCGAGAAACCATAAAAAAGCCAAAGTCCTAACAATTATGATGCGTAAATTATGATTTTTGTTAGAAAAACAAATTGAGTTAATCATTTTTAAAAATATATGTTGTTGTCTTGTTACACAATTTCGCTTTGTAACTACCTGACGTTAATTTGTGCAAAAATCCATGCGAGTTTAAAAAGTCCGCGGAGCTGTATTTTCAACAAAATAAATATGCTATGGCCTATTCATAGGGTAATTAAGACGACAAAATTCACACATAATTGGTAGGATTTTGATATGCTCTTGTCTGATAGATTACGACAGTTCCCAAATGTTTTCTCATGGTTTCTCATCAAATGCAGTCGTCTTCGTCTTCGTCTTCGTTCTTTTTAAAGCAGTCCTTTTCCTTGCCTAGACACAGAAACATTGCAGCTCATGAAACTTCTGTATTTACACATTTCTCATCTGTGCGACTGCTTTCCATGTTAAAAAGCTGGCATTTTTTTCAGGGTTACTTTGTGAAATCTCATTGAATAGTCAAAATTTGATATTTTAAAAGATAAACAAATCTTTATTATCCAATCTTTAATTATGATTTCTTTATGCAGCATTGTCATTTTTCGGTGCTTTATTTCAACAAAACTAAGTTGAGTTTGGAAAATGTTCAAAGTACTTAGAAAAATACTTATGTTTAAGAAGTCACTTTTAAAATTTCAACTAAAAAGTATCAAAGAAAGCTTGATTAATTTAATTTGTAAATACCCACTGTAGAATCCTGTTTATGAGAGGAGGAGAACAGTAGCTGTGGTCTCCAATTTAACATTCAGGTACATGTGTATATTTCCTATGTTTTATCAATTAACAATAGTTATTTTCATTCATATGTTGATTTGATACATACAGTGAAATTGAAAAAATGGCACCAGAGCCCTTCACATCCGTTATATTTTTTTCATAGTTAGATGTGTTACTGACTTAAGACGTTAAAGGCCAATAAATAACTCAGTTGTATGACAAAAGAGATACTTCAGCTTTTCCATCATCAACTTTCCTTATTTATGTCATAACATCCCACTTTTGCCTGCTTACAGTGTTATTGTCTCCCAACTTATTGAATATTCCTTGCTCAATCTTTGAAGGGAGGCATGTTACTCACTGATAAATTAATGTTAAACAAATCTAAACAACTGTCTTAAGTTGGTATTTTGTAAATTTTACAATCATTATAATGATATTGTTAGCAAATATGTCCTATCATAGGCTCATATTTTGGCTGGCTTGTTTTATATCAATTGTTAGACCTTTGCTTTTATACTGAATTGACTACTGACAGTTCAGTCTAGCTGATCAATACAAAGGGTTCACGGTGGGTATGACAGGTCAAAATAATATACTTTTCCTCCTAGGCACCTTATTCCATCTCAAGGTCAGTGTTTCATTGATCACTGTTCGTTACCCTCACCTGTTCCATGAGGACATCTTTCACTCGGAATTAAAACTTAATCAATAAAGACTGTGGAATAGAGGTTTCTAAATTAATAATTAAACAAAAAAGACTACCAGCATTTTTTCAAAACATACTTCTACCCAAAGTAAAAAGTAAAGTAGTGCATGTACATTCACTTCATGGCAGAGCTGAAATACTTGACTGTAAGCACATTTTGGAAAGATAACTCATTGTCCACACTTAAATCCAGTAATACTGGAGTCACATGATGTATCTATTATCTAGTTTACTTAAGTCAGAATTGTACTTAAGAATTGAAATAGCAGGGAACATTTAAAAAGTAGAAGGGGGGAGGGAAATTCCCCAGCCCCCAGGTCTTAGCGACAACCATTTTAATGTCATCAAATATTATTTGCTTACTTGGCCAGTGGAGAGCATGCCGATGACTGGGGGTTGGGGAAGTCTATGGTGCCACTCTCCAGAACCTGAACACCCGGGATAAACTTCATACTGTTTGGATTGGGTGTTTCCTGTGTCTGGATAAACATGGTCCTCACTACAAGTAAAACCAATGACAAAACTGTGGGTAATAAGAAACTTAGGATTATTTCTTTTGTAAATTGATATACATTTATCATCAGACAAAATATTATTTGGCTAATGTGTAGGGATGCAGGCACTCTTAACTTTTATTAGAAAAAGAAGGAAGTAAGCTAAAGTGTACCAAGGAATGCTTATGTTGCCTGCTTTAATGCATCACTAAAGATTAAATGAGTCTAAGTGTGGTCAGCTATTTATTTATTTGCTACTAGCATTACTGTTTATGAATCTGCCTCCTTAGAAAAAATCTGTGGATTGTAAAACAGATGGAATAGCATTCATCATTATATTTAATTGTCAGTCTACAATTATTTTGGTATATCCTGATTTATTTTCATAGTATATTTAATGTCAATTTGTGTGGTAATCTTGGTAAATTTTGTCAAGCATACAGCTTCAAAGAATATCATAAGCTTTAAAAACAGTTTGACAAAAACAACCCTGCAGAAGATCCAGACATTTTACAACACCTGTCTCAGGGGTATCTTCATCTCATGGCCAGAAAAAACACAAATGAAGAACTATGGAAGAGAGCTGGACAGGAACCACTAGGCATACAAATCATATAGAGGAAGTGGAGCTGGATTTAACACCCTAGGAAAGTCACCTTCCAGCATCACATGCCAGGTCCTGACCTAGAACCTGCAGGGCAAGAGCAAGAAGGGACTCCAAGAAACACCTGGAGGTGTGACTTGGAGACAGAATGGCATGATATAGTGAAAGCAGCCCAGAATCAAATTTGTTGAATGACAGTCGTTCATTGCCTTTGTTTCTCAGAGAACGACTAGCCTAAGTAAGTAAAGTAAGTAAATTAAATTAAATGCCTTTTTTGAAAATCGCACTATAGCTCTGTGATGGTTTTCAACTTTATATTTTATAGGTAAACTCACATTTAGGCCAGTACTTATTTCAGTCTATTTCGACCCCTCCACCCCCACCCCGAATCTCCAGGTGTTCTACCAAATGAGTTTTCTGGCCACTTAGGAATGCCACATCACCTTCTCTAATTAAAGATCTTTGGCACCTGAAGACATCAACTATGCTCTTCCCTGGCAGGTATTTCATCTGCCACTTCAAGGGCTGGCACCAAAAGAAACAGGAGAGAGAAAAATGCAATGAACCAGACCAGGATTCAAAACTCAGGCCCTGAACCTTGAGTCACTGTCAGGTGCTCTAACAACTGAGCTATCTGGCCACCTGCACTCAAACTTGCTAAACCATGATACTATTTAGTAAAGTGAAGGGATTGTGACAGACCTGTTATTGAAGCAACAGGTTGTCTTTACCTTTAATCATGTTAATGTTAAGTTGTTTACTCTTGATAATTAACAACTTATTTTTCTATCATTTCCTTACTACATCAATAAGATTGATACGTACCAAAAGTATGTTGAGGCTTCCATTTAAACAAGTTTTTTCTTTGCTTCTGAAATGTTGCAATATTTCTCGAATAAGAAAATATCCTGCCAAAAAATAAAAAGAATGGATTACTTGAATTCTGCACTAAAAATTTCGCTTTTAAAATTTTCAAAAAGAAGACTTAGTGTCAAATTTACCTTTGAAATCCTTCTTTTCGAAAAAGACTGACAGAAATAGGTCGTAAAATTTGTCTACACGCCATTTTGAATGGCGACAAGGTGCTTGTTAAATCGTACATAAGTATCTCGAATGCGTATCTCTTTACATTCTTTTATTATTTTAATAATTCTTGTTGAATATTACAATACGATTATAAATTTTACAAAAATTCCTTTGAAAACAACGCCGATTAATTATTTTGTTTTTATTTTTTTTTAGAAATAGAAGTATTCCGGATGTTTTACTTCCGGTTCTACATTTACTGCCCTCTTTCTATTTCCTGGATACACAACGCTTTCTACAATCAAGTGCAAGGTTTGTTTACTGATTTAATGTTGAGAATTATTATATGAATTAACAGAAAGGTTATTGTATTTTGATAATGCCTATTTGTAGGTTCAAGATGCCTCAGAATGCCAGGGCACTGATAGCGTACGGACCATACGAAGCATGTTATTTGGTGGATCACAGAAAGAGTCGGTTACAAGGATTAGAAAGTAAGTAAAATTGTGCCAGTCCTTATTCTATCATTATCTCACTAATTGATGAAACACATCAAAACTAAGGAAAATTCTGAATCAGGTGACCGATCACCCGAGTCACTATGCCACTAATTTTATTAAGCACTCACACATGTATCAGGGTAAGGCCCTTTTCTTAGAATGCTATGCTCAACACAGTTAACTTGCCTCAAATCAACGGAAAATTCAATAGAAGCCTATCAACAGAACATATACCTTTATATCTAGTCCAACTTAATTTGTAAATAAAGTATATCTGTGTTTTTGGTATAGTAGATTTATTTTTTTTATGTACAAATTAAGCTGGAGAATGTCTATGCACCATAAAAGCTCTATCTTGAGCAAAAAGTGTGTTTCTTATACATGTATCTGTATTTACTATCTGTCCACTACACGTAGTTAGCTCTGGGAAGCCTTGCATAAGTCCTGAGTGCCTAATAGGTCTAAATCTTTAGTAATGACAACCTCTGCTGTCCATGGTTAACTATAAATCCCTAAAAGACACAAAGTGTCATCACAAGTGCTCATCACACTTAAGTTGCTTGAAATAAAATGGAGGTCCTACAGTATCACCAGGAAAAAAAAAACTAGCTCTCAAGTTAGACATTGTAGATTCTCTAGTATTCACTAAGTTTTATTGATGTCTTGCAGAGACAATACATTCTTGTGATTTTATCTGAATGTGTACATCTGCAAATTTATTAGAATTAATTAATTTTGCATATTACATCTCTATCATAAGACATACAAAAGGAGCCATTAGAATACATAGGACATGAATGGGATGCTAGAAGTCTTTTGCAAATCATTAGTGAATCATTTACTCTTAACCATATTCCAAATTGAAGTCAGAAGTTCACAATCCTCAAAATCACAATTTTTAATTAGTATCATAGAAGACAAATCATACTTCACAAAAGAAAGAACTTTTAAGAAATTTCCAGACACTTTTACCAGTAGTTATGCTTCATGAATATATTAAAAGGGCATATTCCATGTGTATCTCTATTTCATATTTACTGTGTATAAGATTTAAAACAACAAGATTGAAAGCAGCATAAAGGTCTTTCTTTTTTTCAATTTTGTGGGATGAATTTTATTGAATTTAACACCATTATATGCACTTGTTCAAATCATTTTGACTGTTGATATAACATTTTATTTTTGTAAACCAAGGTTCACTTCATTAGAAAGTATTAATAATACCTTATCTATAATGCATGTCCTCTTTTTTAGCTGTCCTATTTAAAGATGGTCACTCTGTGGAGTTTGAGGAGATAGAGGACTGGAACATGGTGGAAATCTGGGTCAATGGAGAGTGTGTGTTCAAGTGTGACATCAGGGAGCTAGACTATGGTAGGACTGACTTAACTTGTACACGTAAATGTATTTGATCAAATATCTGGGGCATCCATGCTTATACTTTGTGATAATTGTTTTAGTAATTGTTGTGGAAAGTGTTCCAGCTTGACCATAGAAAGCTGGCTAAGTTTTGTCAGAATGTAAATATTTTTGTCTCTCAAATTTTTGGAAAGTCTTCACTTATGAACAAACAAACAGGGGGAATAATTATTAGTTAAAGATTGTTTGAGATTGTGTATGTATTGTTTATTTCAAGACAATGTACATCTTTGCTAGCCAAGGGTTATGATATGCTACCCTCCTACGAGGAGAGTAGTGTATCAGAAACCCTTGGCTAGCAAAGATGGACAATGTACTATTCTTATCTGAATTGTTGGATTTAGTGTGTTCACGATAGAACTGCTCATATCCCTGAATCAGTTAAGAAAGAGTTCTATGGTTATATCTCTGGGTTAGAAAAGAGTTTGTCATTTATTTATTTTAAACTTTACCTGGTATCAATGTTAAATATTTAAACTGTAGAATACTGTGGACTGTATGTCTCCCCTTTATGTCTTTGTGTCTGTTTCTACAGCTGTCTGTCATTCAGTTTTGTGATAAGCTACAGATTAAGTAAAACTTGCAATTCATTTTGCTTTGGTGATTTTTTACTCATTTTGAACTTTTTAGTTTTATGCAATTTTGTCTTTTTTTAGTTTGATGCAGTTGTGTCTTTTTATTTTTCTTGCAGGAGGCGATGGGGAACTGGATCCCCTCTGTAAGAAGGCACTGGAAGCTGTACAAAGTGCCTTTTGATTATAGTAATATATACAGACACTTTTGATTTTTGTTCACTAAAGTGAGTCAGTAATGTCTGGATGTATGTGAGATTTTTAGAAGTATAGATGTTTGTTATAAGAAGACTTGTTATGTTAAAACAAATTAAAAAAAATTTCCAGTGAAAAGTTCAGCTTTATATTATTACAGTTTCCCAGCAAACTCAAGGCTTAATGCTACAAGGTCATAGCTTAGGATGTTAATAAAGCAAAAAAGGCAGGTGTTTGTGGGCTGCTTGAGGCCTTAATTAGTGGTTCATAGAAAAAAATCGGGATGGGAGGGGGAGGGTGCAAAGCTTTGGAAGGGGGGATTTTAAACAATTTAATGTCAAAAAATATGGGTGAATTTTAACAGTTAAATATGATTTTGAAATTTCATGACAAACATTACCTGCTGTTTTATAACAGTGAAATACGGTAAACCTATATGAAGATGGGTTAGTCCAATGCAGATGACATAGACCAAAGTCATTTTGGTTGACTGGTATATTACTAGTATATAACACTGAAATATGATTTCGGAGAATTTCTTCCTTGGAAAATGATCTCTGCGTATATATGGGATTTTCAGAATAAGAATAAAAACCATGCTCCTCTAAATTACAGTTATAATAACGATCCTTTACAAACATTGACGATAGTGTTTCTAGTCTTGTCTGCTAGAACTATATCATCCATAATTTTCATGTCTGTGTAATTTTTTCTACACTTCCAGTTAATATATTTCTAAAACACTTAACCTTTAGCTTAATCTGACAAAGTGTTTAGGTCTAGTCTAACATAATAGTCGACAAGGTTCTTATACTTAAAGAAATAAAAGTTCTGTCGTCAATTGAAAGATCGGGCCCTCTTAAAAAGTTAGGGGATATCTCTAGGAAATGCAGGCCGTAGAATTCAACTTAAAATATGGTGGAATGCAATGCTAAACTTTTATTACTAATGTTCAGAGTATCTTTACATTTGTTTTCAAATTTAAGCTTAATTTAAGGAACCGATTGGCTGAGTAAGAATTTTCTTCCGACACACGTCATGTACAGTGCAGTGGTTTAAGAACCTATGCTGGTCAACATCAACAATCACAAAAACTAACTTGTAAAATGCATTTGAAAAATCTATGCTTGAACTTGCTCTAGTTTCTTCAAATATTCAATAAAATAATTAAGGAAACAGAATGCATTAAATTTTAATGGGAATGTGATGAAGACCGAATTGTTTATTGACGTATTACGACGTAAAGCAGAATAGAATCAAAGGAGACATCCTTTATAATGTGTTGTTGTAGGATCGATGTCCTTGACTGCCTTTACATGTACGTATCGATGTACAGTTAAAAAGAGACTAACGTTGATATATTGTGGACTTGAAAGATTCCCTACATTACTGTATTTATTTGGTCGCTGCAACAATGTGTAAAGACAGTACCTAGTTTCCTATTTCATTATTCATCACGTTTTCTACGGAATGGAGTACTCAAAGCAGGACTGTTAGTTGGATGATATTTTTTCCTCAAATTTCTAACCCTTGTTGAATGGATAAAGTGCTCAGGATAATTGAAATGTTTATAACGACGTTGATGCCCCCATTATTAATTTTAAGTATATGGCCTGACATTCTCTTGTTGAGTGAACCCTTTTGTTTCCCCAATATAAAATAATCCGCATAATGTTTATTCAATTGTAATGGAAAACAATCGAAGATTTACAAGGCAGTCACCAGTTTTAGTATTAAACTTTGTTCAGTAAGGTTGCTATAAAGAAGGTAAAAATATCATAAAACATAATTATGGAAATAAAGACCATTATTCAAGATCAAAAGTCCATAAAAATACAAAATAGAAGGAGAGCAAAAATGTATCTAAAACATTAGAGGTGGTATCAGGTGCCAAAGAGGAGTCACTGTGAGCATCCCTTGCTGACCGGTCACACCAGCCGTATGCTCCTTGTCATGATCGGAACATAACGGGAAAATCTGTCCTCAATTCAGTGTGTAAATAATGGACTAACAAATAGTTTAAAAAACGTCAGTCAGCATTTGACTCCATGATAAATTGTATTTGCTGACGAAGCCATTGTATCGACCAAAGAACATACAAAATGATGACTTTAAACGAGACTGATATTTTTGTTTCAGCAACTTGTTTGTTAATAATTTATCTCGTTTTAGAAAGTGTTCATATGTAGGGCATGCTCTTGCGTATCAATCAACTGAGATATATAAACTCCGTATGCAGGTGATAAAGGTATATTGCTGCATAAGTAAGGGAAGCTGACGATTGTAAAATTCAAGTCATCAAGTTTATCATAGAGCTTGCTTGTCAGATTACCATTAACGTCTTTTTCAAATAAAATATCCAAATATGAAATAGATGTGTCAGACTCTTTTATCTCAAGCTCACCAGGATATATCGTATACATAAGAATGAAAATTACCATTGTTTATTGACAATACGTCGTTGATAATCTAAATTGTCGAGATGAAGGCCACAGCATGTGTTTTCTTCTTTTCAAGCATAAGACTTCGAACAAATTCTGCTTGATATGAATACAAAAATAGTTCTGCTTATAACGGGTCGCAATTGGTACCCATGAAAATTCCAAAAGATTGTTGAAGACCTGGTCTCCAAATACGACATAGATATTGTCAATCAGAAACTCAAGTGTCTTTTTGATGTCAACTTTAGAGTACTGGTGTGTACAATCAGAATATGTTTCTTAACAAAATAATTTTGCAAATGACCAATAACAAGGTAAATATAAATTTAAGAGTTCCATTTTTATTGAAAACAGCTGTAAATGATATCAAAAAGCCTGGACTTTAATTTATCGTGGGGAATGTTTGTGCATAAAGTTGAAAAGTCATAAGTTTTTAGCTGTTGATTTTGGTAAAACTTGATTTTAAACTGTCAAAAAGTTTCTTGGAATGTTTATGTATCTGATTCCCACCACTTCTTGAATACTAGTATATTGTTGCACAGTACTCTTGAAATTTATCTTTCACTACTGTTTATATCTTAGGGAGGAGTAATGAAAGAGGCTTGGGTGAGCAATTACTGAAACCCGCTGTGTATCTTTGTTTGTAGGATTTTTATTTACTTTAGGAATCCGATATGGATATGGTAGATCAAGTTCAGTTTGGTTCTTTGGGATCTTAAAAATATTCAAAACAGACACATAGATTTGAAGAATTTCTTCCTTAGAAAGGGAACTACTGCAATATAAGTAAATTAGATTACCACTATAGTAGAATTAAATCCAAGTTCTTCTAAAATACTATTTATAATATAATGAGCCTTACAAACGAAGACAATGTTGTTGCCTGCTTTGTCTGCAAGGAACAGTCCGTACTGATCATGTAATCTAATTTTTTTCCTCACTTCTGAATTGTTGAATTAAATTAGATGATTTTCATATTTCCCCTCAATTTCTTAATACGAGATTGTAACATAGATCCGATATATTTAATCCATTCTGACCAAGTGTCACGCCGTTTTCTTTTTCATATTTGGCCTATCGTCTGGCGTAATCTTCTACAGAATCCATAATATTTATGAATATCCGACGCTATACTAGTAGTTGAAGGATCGGGGTTCCCTATTTTTAGGACCTTTTAATTATTGATCTAAGGTCAGCATAATTAACTATATTTACATCACCCATAATGACGTGTCCAGTAGTTAATTAAAAAAAAATTAGATATTAAGAATTTCCAGAATGAGACACCTAGGATTAGCAACATGAAAATTATGTGGAATTTAGATCATATATTGTGAAATTATTCCCATAACAGTGCTTATTATACCTCATTATAAATATTCTACACAACGCGTTTTCTGATTGGTTCTAGATCATCACGTGATCGGGCCGTAAAACTTCATATTTCCCGGTCGTCGGCACGCTTTTCATCATATTCCACCTCTTCGGATACTTAGTGCATTTTCCCGCAATAATTATCGTTCATTAAAAGAAAACTCCCGAGAGTAGTAGACGTCACAATAGCCTGCTTTACGTCACAGAATTGATGATAAAGTGTTGACCAAAGTAACGTTAAAGGTTTTGCTTGTTTCGGTATAATAAACAATTCATTGCATGAATGTTCGGGAAACATAAAGACTTATTCAGCCAAGAAATATCATATTCCCCTCGGGCGAAGCCCTCGGGGAATATGATTTTCTTGGCTGAATAAGTCTTCATATTTCCCTCACTATCATGCAATAAATGTATAATATCCAATTTTTCAAAATAAAACGTTGGATTTTTTATGCTATTAGTAATCTTATGCACTGTATTACAAAATTAATGTTGTTATATTATAATACCTTTCTGAAGAACCTGGTTAATATATTTCCTTTAGCGGAAGGTGACAAACCATGTCCTCCAAAACATAAATCTTAATTATAAACAAGTCAGTAAGGGGAATGGGTGCCGAGGGAAACAGCTGTGATTCACTGATTTATGTTCCCTCCTCTAAATCTGATAATTCATTACATTTTATACTCATTGGACTTTTTTAATCAGAAGTTCTGAATATAAATCCGATTTGATTAAATTGTTCAAAGACTTGATTTAAAAAAAAATTCCAAAGGAAATATGAAATGAACTCTTCTAATATATAATCAGGATATTGGGACCTATTGTCCTCGTGAAACACTTGATCAAAATTTTTTGAAATTGTGTGTAATTGAGCTGGTTTCTATTCTGTTAAATTTTATCATCAATATTGTGCCTTTGTCTGTAAAAAGCTAATCAATAGTTAAATGAGAGGACCTCATTACTTCAGTTCTGCATCCTCTCGATCGGGGGGATTTAACAAATTTGATTTTCCCTTTATTTTTAGCAATTTAGCATCGAAATGATATAAATCTATATTATATACCGGTATATATTTAACATATTTATGGAAGTTGGAATGTGTTTCGTGTTAATGTGACTCTTAACACCACCAATGTTGTTGTATATATTACAGGAACATCATTCCATCATACAATTTTTAAAAAGACAAGTCAAAGAAATCGTCGCACTAACGGGTTTTGTGTCCATTCTATTTCCAAAATACAATAGACACAAACCCATGGCTTGAAACGATGATCAGAAAAGGACATTATTTTTTTTTTCATTTTATCAAATACTCAGTACCATGGTATTGCTAAATAGTCAAAATTTGAAGAACGTCTTTAATTTAATTTTGATCTGAGGTATTTTCAAAAAATACAAAGTTAGGCCTAAGAACCCTATCGGAAACAAGAATATTCCGTGTGTTTGGATCGAATGGCAATTATTCGTGAATCCTTAAAATGTCAAAGCAATTGGGATCTGATCAATCTACACATCGGAAGAAATATCATTATTTGAAAATAATTTCTGTGGTGACGGAAATTGCCGACTGCAATAGTTAATGCCAAGACAGCTGTGTGCTTATTTCTGAAGGTAGCCCCACAAAAAAATATCGACAAAGTTTAAACCCGCCCCTGACGCCCCAACAAACCATTAAGATAATTAGTTTCGAGGATATTGTATAGAACAAATTACATGATGATAGTTGGATTGTGTTAATAATTCGTAAGCATCAAGGACTTTGTTTTGTTCCCATTTTTTACATCATCATCATCTAGAATGAGAGCTAGAGGAAAAGTCAACACGGTTTAAGATTTTTTTTTCAAAATTAAAAGTTCAGAAAATACGGAACACTTTTCAAATCCAAACTCGGTCTCCAAATGAAAACATTTCCAAGGATGGATCCCGCAATACTACCATCTGATTCCTTCGTGAGAGGAGTGTTTCTTCTAAGTCTGTGTTGGACTGCTAATGCAGCCCCAGTATACCATGACTACTGTGTTATTGGCGCCGGACCCGCGGGCTTACAAATCGGATACTTCCTTCAAAGGTCACAGAGAAATTACGTTATCTTCGAGAAATCTAATTCTGCAGGTATATTCTGCGATTCATCCTATGTCTTAGTTCCGCGTTTTTACGACTTTTTCTACATGAATTGTGAATGGCAAGGATTCCTTCAAAGTCCAAAAAGCATTTAATTTTCTTTTGGTATCGATTGATAGGCAAGACTTGTGTAACTGAATTTTTTTTATGGATACATAGTTTACGTTTTTTGAAAAATGAAGTGTTCTATACTTTATTTCTATAAAAAAAACTTACCAAGTTTTTCAATGTTTATCATCTTAATAAAATTATGCAACTTGGGAATAGATGCTTTTAATATCAATTCCTACATTTTAAATATTCCATTTTATAATAATTTTGTTTAACATTTTTGTATCCAAAAAAGACATCCAACAAGTTTAACACGTTTGTTTTCAAAGAGGTCGGTGCATGATTAGAAATTAAACGTAGATCATAAATCGCAATACTGAGTATAAAAAGTGCTTTTTGGTATATTGTTTATATTGAACTTTAATACATTAGGTTCATTTTTCAACAAATACCCAATCCATCGGAAGTTAATTAGCATCAATAAGATATACACAGGGAAAACAAACAAAGATTACAACCTACGTCATGACTGGAACTCACTTCTTAGTGACGACGATCGAATGCTCTTCAAGCATTTCTCACGTCAAATGTTTCCGTCAGCAGATGTAATGGTCAAGTGAGTATTTTTCACAATCTATCATATATATATCATAATTACACAAAAACTCTTATGAAGTCTTTTCATGAATATACACTAGTGTATACTAGTATATCGAAGCAGAGTTTGACATCGGATTGACTACATTTGTAATGCTAGTAGAAAGATTGACTATGGAAATAAATGTAAGGAGGCATCATCTTCTATTCCTCAGTCTTTTTAACATAAACTAATCATTTAATATAAAGATACAGAATAGAGTAAGCTGTTTGAATGTCAAGGAGAGGACATGTGATCTAGTTTGAGCCAATCAGGTAGCAGGAAATGATAGAAATATTAATATATTGTAAAAGGACATGGAATTGCAATGATTAGGGATAAATAACACAAGCAAAAACATGATGCATGGATTAATATATGTTTCACTAATTAGTAATTAGGAACAGAAATTGCATAAAGAGATAAATCCCTAAAATATAAAGTGATTCTATGTAAGTCTACTAAAAAATTGCAAACATTCTTTAAAATTATGACAATTTTTAAAATTTATTTTCACTCTTATAATGACAATTATAATCATTTTTGAGGTTTTCTATTTGAATATACAAGACTAGTATAAGATCTTTGCATTGCAGAAAATGTTTTATTTATCCTTATTTAGATACCTGCAAACATATGCTGACCGTTTTAACCTAACTATTCGCTACAACACAGAAATATCTGACATTCACTCTGTACATGAAGACAACAGGACAAAGATCAGTATGAAGGATCAACACGACAATCAGTACTTATGTAGGTAAGTAAACACCTACATGTATATATTTTCTCTTTACGTGCGAGTCTTGACTTGTTAACTTCTCTAGCTAATCGTTCTTTATAGGGTTGCTATCGTTGACTTTTCTCACATATTTCTCTTTAAAGGGTTGCTATTGTTGACTTTTCTCACATACTTCTCTTTATAGGGTTGCTATTGTTGACATTTCTCACATACTTCTCTTTATAGGGTTGATAATGTTGACTTTTCTCACATACTTCTCTTTATAGGGTTGCTGTTGTTGACTTTTCTCACATACTTCTCTTTATAGGGTTGCTATTGATGACTTTTCTCACATACTTCTCTTTATAGGGTTGCTATTGATGACTTTTCTCACAAACTTCTCTTTATAGGGTTGCTGTTGTTGACTTTTCTCACATACTTCTCTTTATAGGGTTGCTAATGTTGACTTTTCTCACATACTTCTCTTTATAGGGTTGCTATTGATGACTTTTCTCACATACTTCTCTTTATAGGGTTGCTATCGTTGCCACTGGGATATGGCAGCCCCGGATTCCCGACATCCCAGGACAGGAACTTATGGACGGATACGAGAGCTTGTCACTGAACGCATCAGACTATGAAGGGAAATCTGTCATGATTCTGGGTAACTGTAAACGAGAATAATTGTAAGTTATACAGTAACCATGTGTATTAAAGTCATTCATCAATATCTGTCATTTTAGGTCGTGGAAATTCTGCTTTTGAAACCGCCACTGCCATCTATGACAAGACGAACTTCATCCACATGGTCGGCAGACATCGAATCCGTCTGGCATGGGAGACTCACTATGTGGGCGATCTCAGGTAAGAGCCATCATGTGGGCAACCTCAGGTAAGAACAAGTATGTGGGCCCAATATGTGGGCGATTCATGTAAGAACCACTATGTGGGCGATCTCTGGTAGCACCCACTATGTGGGCGATCTCAGGTAAGAGCCGTAAGAACAAGTATGTGGGCCCAATATATGGGCGATTCATGTAAGAACCACTATGTGGGCGATCTCTGGTAGCACCCACTATGTGGGCGATCTCAAGTAATGCCCGCAATTTGGACGATATCAAAAAAGAGTCAAATAAACGAGGGGAAAATTCGTACCAAAATACGGAACGGTCAAATAGAATTCAAGCAAAAATCTAGTTTTCTTTCTTGCTTTATTTCATGAAGTCAAAAGTACATGTATATTTGAACTAAACGTTTTTAAAATCTATACAACTTTTTGAACATGTAATGGATAAAAATGTTCTGGGAGAATTTCTAACATGTCGCCTCAGGGGTTCTGTGTCAACTCATTGCCGTAAGACCCGTGACAAAGTTCATTCGATAACTTACGGGTTGATCACAGCGACGTCTTTCGGTAAAAATATACAAATCTTCATTGTTTTTCTTATTTTCCCATTTAAGCCTTTCGGTGATAATCAATACAAGACATGTGCACTCAAATCAAATGAAATTTGTCCAGGGTATTTTTGCAGTGAGTTAACACAGGATCCCTGGCGTTGTGAAGATAATAATATATGTTATGCACATTCCGGGGCTTTTTTCATTATGGATAAAGCATAATATATAAGAGGGCTGTTCAATAAATAATGTCCTCGGTGCTCGAAAAGAAGCAAAAGACGCTTTTCAACGATTTAGTCTTAATGATTTCACTTAAATATTCTCTTCTGATTTAAACACATGTCCGTAACGTTTTTAACCATTTCTGATTGTTTTTAGAACTCATTTTTGAGTATGCCCCTTCGTATACTGGAATATGGCAGATCCAATGATTTTCCAGACTTGTTTCTTCTTTCTGAAAGCTGTTTTTAACTTTGAAAAATGAATCAAATCAAAAGTTGACAGAACTGGCGAATGTTGGTGGTGTGTCAAAACATTATCTTTCTATTTATCCACAAAACACATTTACTCTTCGAGGAGTGGGGTTAGGACGCTGTCATGAAGAAATTTAATGCTTTGGATTCCTTATTCTAGTTCCTTACTCTCATTACGGCAGGTGTGACCGGTCGGTAGAGGTTGCTCAATGCTCTCTCCTCCATGGCACTTGACCCAACCGATGTTTTGGAGGTCCGCGTTTGCTCTGCTTCTGTTTTGTGTTGTTTTATGAACTTTTGATCTTGAATACTGTACGTTATCTCCATAAGTTTCATCTCATAAACCTTTCGATTTTTTTTTTTTTGCAAAACGTTTGCTTTCTAGACTACTCTGGAAATTGAACTGCCTCCCCGAATAAAAATTGGAACAATAAGACCACGAATATATATGAAAATGGCATATAAACTGTCTTTGTCCTCTTGCAATTCTTTGCTCTTCTCAGACCTTTGCTGTTTTTGTTAAGTGCATCTTATTGTAAATTTGTTTTGAGGGTTTAAATCAATGGAGTCACGTTTCTGTATCTTTTTGAATTTCAGACAAACGTGGGTAACTACAATTTCTGATTTTTAAAAAAAAATAATTGTTTAGATAACAGACATTGGTTGCTGTAAATTTCACATATTTCAGTGAATATTTCTTTGGGATTCTTAACAATTTTTACAGCATCTTTAAAGAAGCGTTTAATTTCACTCTATTTTACTGATTATTTACAATTCATTTTTAAAGTGTCTCGAAAAGCCCTTGTTTTCCAGCTTCTCACAGTGAACATATAAGATGAAAAGTGATCACATAAACTGATATCAATTCATTAAAGATTCAACCATGAGAGAAAGTCAAGCTTAATGTCATATGATATTCGTGTTGTATTTCATAGAGTTTTGAACAGCCCTCGTAACTAACTTTTTTGTAACTTGCATTAAACTCTAGGGCCGTAAACAATGAGCTTTTGGACACTTATCAGTTGAAATCCTTGGATGGTCTTCTAGAGTATGATATAAACGATTACAAGATTGTGAAGGAGGGGGGTAAGCTATACCTCCGGGAGAACATGGCCACGGGACAGCAGTGGGGGGAGTACGACAACGACCCTCTTCTTACCCCGTACGACAAGATCATCCGGTGCCTCGGCTTCAAGTTTGATCCCTCCATTTTTAGAAAGTAAAGATAATTAGAAAATCAATAATTTCTGACAATTCCTTATTGACAGTATTTTCACTAATTAAATTGGCTTCATTTTGGTGCATCAAAAGATCAATCTATTATTTTTAACCTCTCTCAGAATTTCAGACTTTGCGGTAAGGCCATCGCAGAAGTATCCTTTTATAGATTACGATTACCGGTCCTCGATGGTGGATGGTATTTACTTCACAGGGACAATAGCGCACTCTTTGGACTTTAGACAATCGGCAGGGGGGTTCATTCATGGCTTCCGATACTCTGGTAATAAGATAATGAAAATGTATGTGATCAATGTTTTAGCCCAAGGGAGAGTGTGCACCGTACATAATCTTCTGTCTATTGGTTTTAGCACGCGTTCTTTCAAAGGTTCTGAACTGGCGTTATCATCAAGAAAAATGGCCGTCAGAAATTCTCCCCGTCTCCAACCTGTCGTCAGCCATTATCAAGAGAGTCAACGAGGCTTCAGGACTCTATCAAATGTTCACATATCTAGGAGATGTCGTTTTGGTAGACAAGTTGGTATTATCTAAATCCTATATAATGTATACATATATATTAATATACACGTGTATAAACTCATTCTCATTTCTGTACTCTGTATCTTGCAATTCAATTTTTCTCCATCAGAAAGGAATTGATTTCAGAAATTTACTTGATACAGAGATGGAATGTGTGAATATATTGAGGAGTATCCAGTTAAACTTATACACAAGCTAAGTGAAGTTACCGGAATTGAGACAGCAAATAAAATGGTTCTGGTGGTGGTGTTACAATATGGCGAGGGGTTTCACGGACCGGAAGAAGATGTGTTCCGTGTGGACAGGGCCGCTACTGAACCGGAATTTGCAGAATATTCTAATTTCTTACATCCTGTCATTCATTTCTACACAGAAATTCCAAAAGGTAGAAAATACATTGTATTTTGTTTTATAAATAATCAACATCTTCATAAATTTTCCAATTCCCATGACCATTCTTTTAATTCTTTCAAGAACTTTGGTGGGGGAAATTAACCATCTCACAAATACATGTAGTTCTATATAAAGGAGTCGACTGAGGTTTTGTTGTGTCAAAACTACAATAGAAACTCTTGAGTACAGTATAGTTGGTGTACTTTGCATATGGTGTTTAATTTTCTAACATATTCGCTATATATTCAAGAGCAAGCTCTAACTGAGAAGGCTACATACAAATATGTTTTTGTCATAGGGATTTCAACAACCAAATTTAAAGTCAGAGTTTTGTCATTTTATGGTTGTAAAATAACCATAAAAAAATAAAAACTGGTTCTATTGACAGAGGAAGACACAGTGAAGAGAAAGCGAGGGGATCCGTTACCTCCAGCGGACAGGATTCATCACGTGTTGGAGGATTTCTCCGCTAACTGGGACAGACCCCACGCCCACATCAAACCTCTCAACAAGTTCCTACAGCGTGTACTGAAAAACAGAACTAAATGTAGATCACAAACAAACACTTTCTCAAAGTACCTAGCCTCAACGGACACCTTAAACACACAATCTTGTGTTGTCACTTGAGTTTGATATAAATTTAATAAAACAGTTTAACTAAAAGTGTAATATCCCTCTAGTCTATTCATTTTATTATCCACAGCAGTTATTTTTATTAAACCAAAGCATTAGATTCAAATTAACAAACAGATTTGATTTTTAGAAATAAATACATGTACATGTTTTATGTCTTATCACTTCAGAAAACATGACAAAGAGTTGAATTAGAATCTGTGCTTGTAAAAATATTCATTCACCTACATGTGTACAAGTTATCTTTCATTAAAATGGTTTAGGGAGTCCCGTTTCATGATAAACTACTGTAGCAGTTTTAAAATAAATTACTAAGAGAACGAAATATCTCTATAATAGTTAAAAAGAAGTGAGTGCAAACAATGCTAAGGTCAAATAATTTATTATTTTTAGAAACTATCAAAAATATTGGCAAAAGAATAAAATAGAAGTAATTTTTTTTTTCAAAAATATAAATCTGACATTAAATGAAGACTTTATAATGTAATTCATTCATTTAAATCTATTACACTTTGGAAATGTGTGGCACTATAAATTGTATTTAACTATACTTGATTCCAGAACTTCATACAATCCTTACAAACAAAGATATACATAGCACTCAACCACATCTTTTTCTTTACTCCTCACTTAGATATTAACAGAAGTGAAGGAGAAACTTTAAGATCAACGTTCAACAAAATATTCAAGGAGTGGTGTAAATCAGATGTGGATATCTAAAAATTCGAAGGGACTTTTGGACAATTTGAAATCACAAGATTTTACCAAAATCAACGGCTTAAAAACTTGCGACTTTTCAACTTTATATACAACCACTCCACACGATAAATTAAAGTCCAGACTTTTTGATACTATTGACAGCTGCTTTTTCAATGAAAATAGAATTTGTAAATTTACTTACCTTGTCATTGGTCATTTGCAAAATTATTTTATTCAAAAACATTCTGATTGTTCACACAAGTACTCTGAAGTGGACATCAAAAATACGCTTGAGTTTCTGATTCATATGTGGTTTTTGGAGACCAGGTCTTCCAACAATCTATCGGAATTCCCATGGGTACGCGTTATTAGCAGACCTATTTTTGTATTCCTATGAAGAGAATTTATCCAAACTCTTATACGTGAAAAGAAGAAAACACTTGGTGTTGTCTTCAATTCGACAATTAGATATATCGACGACGTTTTCTCAATTAACAATGGTAACTTTTATTGTTATGTCGATACGATATATCCTGGTGAGCTTGAGATAAAAGATACCACAGAGTATGACACATCTATTTCATATTTGGATATTTTACTAGAAAAAGACGTCAATGGTAATCTAACAGCCAAGCTCTATGATAAACATGATGACTTTAACTTTACAATCGACTTTCCCTTACTCATGTTACTAATGCAGCAATCTATACCTTCATCACCTGCATACGGAGTTTATATCTCTCAGTTGATTCGATATGCAAGAGCATGCTCTACGTATGAACAATTTCTAAATTGAAGCAAATCATTGACAAAAAAGTTGATGAAATAAGAATATCAACAGTCTCGTTAAAGACGTATTTCGTAAGTTCTATGTTTGATGCAATGACCTTCTCAGCAAATACAATTTATCATTGGGCCAATGCTGACTGACGTTTTCATACTAATTGTTAGTCCATCATTTATACACTGAATTGAGGACGGATTTTTACGTTATATTTCCCGATCATGACAAGGAGCACACGGCGGGTGTGGCTGGTTAGCAGGGGATGCTCGCTCATGCTCCCACCTCTGATGTTGGAGGTCCGTGTTTGCTCAGATGAAGATGTTCCTATTTATGTTCCCCAAACGAAGTTGGGGAACATATTGTTTTTACTCTGTTTCTTATTATGTCGCCCCGAACGAAGTCGGGGACGACATATTGATATTGTACGCATGTTTTTTTTATCCAGGCTGTTTCTCGGAGATGGCTGGGACAATCTTCCTGAAACTTTCCTTCAAGGACGATCACTGGTTGTAGTTGTGCAGTGAGGTCGTTCAGTTCCAGTATGTCTACCGTTGCCATGGAAACCTGTAAAAAGCGACAAATTTTGTCCGAGAGTGTTCTCTCTGGTCCCTTAAACGTTCGTCATGAAACTTTTCTTATTTTAATGATTAGTATCTGTAGTTCTGCAACTCGTATTTAAAATTTTCATATAATCGATTATTGCCATGGAAACCAGGTGAAAGTTAAAATTCTTTAATTTCGATTTTCTCAATAACTACTCAGGCAATCGTTTTGAAACTTTCAATGTTTATTCCTTGCAATGTGTCAAAGTGATTTCTACTTTCAAAATAATTGTAATGAGTCGCTCACGGTTGCCATAGAAACGAAACAGAAAAAAAGATTCAGATGTACACATGTGTTCTCCAAGGTCTAGGTCAAAGGGTCAAAGTTCGTCGTATCCAATAAAAGTTCTTTTCACAAGGATTACATATTTGAAATACGAAAGCCCTAGTACTTACCGTTCAAACGTTATGGCTATTTACTATGTTCAAGACGCCCCCCCCCCCCTCTTTTTATGAAGCACACAGCCAAGTAGAATACACAGATATAACATATACAACTTACAAGTAACTTTTTAAAATCTTCATTCATAAAATTCAGTTCCCGTCATGTGATATTTTGCCATCATTCATTCTCCTTCTGTTTTGTCTCTTGAATTTATAAATATTTTATTTTATCTATATAAAAAAAAAATAACGATTGTCAGCTGCATTTATTATCATTTCGCGTTTTCTTGTATATCTATCACTTGTATATTATTCATTTCATTAGATAGTGCAAGTATAAATTAAAAAATTGGTACGTCATTTCCATAGTTTTTATTCATTCATAAATTCTTTGATCCGCTCCTGATGGTTCGCAAAGCCTTGATCACCACTGTATACAAAACATTCATCTCGCCGAAAATGTTCATGATTCCGCTAAACTGAGAAAGTTCACACATGATTTATTATCTCATAACACACATCAGCTCTCTGCAATGCTGAAATGCTCGAATTGATGGTGGCATGTCAGATTCGTTTTTCGGTAGAACCTCTAAAATGAAAGTGAAAGAGGGAAATTTCAGAGTTCTCACTGGCGTTACAATACACAAAATAATTCGGCTGATCTTCTTCATAAATTACATTTCCCAAGCTTTTATCATAGGAAAGATACTGCCAATTAACAAGTATGAGGCTCAGTTCAGTACATCTGCCAGATTTCTTTTATGCAAGTCTGCAAATTGAGGAACTTGTAATTTTCCTGCACTACTTTCTTCTCCTACCGATTCTAAAAATAATGAGTGGGATGTACCGAATTAAGGTCTTCCGTTTCCAATGGAAAGGACTGATATAACTCAATGGTTGTTCAAACTTAGCTTATGGACTTTTGTTTTAGTGATGATAAAAATGAAAGTCTTGTCTAATACGGGGCGACATATGCTATTGCTTGCAATAGCAGACTTTCTAGTTATTATTATTATTATTATTATTATTATTATTTTTCTTCTTCCTGGGAAAATTTTGTCCACGAGTGATCTTGTAAACTACACATCCGACTAAGGTAAAATGTTTTTAGGGTCAGTAGACATGTTATGTAGATTTGCCGAACGAAGGTCATTTTGCGCGCACGTGCTTGCAAGAGCGCGCACGTGCAACACGAAAAATGACCAATATAATGGATATTGCTCTAACTTTTCTTTTTTCTTGATGAATTTTTTTGAAACTCATAATGTAAGGATACATTAGTAGTATAGACAAGATGGCATGGTCAAAATAGCAAGATCTCACGCGCATGCACGTGTGCTTCGCTCTGATTGGCTGAAACAAAAGTCTCAATATCTTTCTTGTTTCTTGTCATAATCTTTTGAAATTTTCAACATAGTCCTACATTATGAAGATCTACAGCATGATATATACAAATTTTCATGAAAGCATGCGCATGCGCGCGTGCTGCAATCTGATTGGCTGAAACTTTAAATGGCTATATCTACTTTGTTTTTTGACGAAATGCTTTGAAATTTAAAACATAGTCATACATTGGGATATCCTAAAATATGATATAGAAAAAAAATCATGAAATCACGCGCATGCACGTGTGCTGCAATCTGATTGGCTGAAACTTTATATGGCTATATCTCCTTTGTTTTTTGACGAAATGTTTCAAATTTTAAAATATAGTCATTCATTTAGATATCCTTCAATACGATTAAGATAAAAATTTATAAAATCACACACATGCATGTGTGCTGTAATCTGATTGGCTGAAACTTCAAATGGCTATAACTCCCTTGTTTTTCAACCAAACAGGATTGGATTTAGAACATAGATAAATATAAGGGACTCCTACAAGAAGGTGTAGTCATTATGCACGTGCTTGCGCGTGCGTGCACGTGAAATGAGTAAAATTAAAAATACACTCGAATGAGTGTATTTTTAATACTTTTGGATTAAATGCTTTGATATTAAGTATATTAAAATTTGAGATAGTGTAGACAAGATAATATGGTCGTTAAGCACATGAACATGCGTGCAATGCCTATTTTTAAATATATTTTGTATTTTTCTGGGAAGACCTTGATTAAGTCTAAATTCCATAAAGTATTTCTTATCTAATAGAGATTACAGGGAACATGGCACCAAAAGGGAGTTGGGGAGCGTTTGGGGAACATCTGTAACGGTCCCCGTTACAATTAGCACTAGTTTGTATTGTTTTATGGACTTTTGATCTTGAATATATACTGTTCGTTATCTCCATATGTTTCATATTAAAATGTATTTGAGATTTGATAATCATCCCTATATAATATGATAAACTATAATAATGAGCTTTGATAAACTGAATATCGTGAGTAAATTATAAGCATTTATTTGAGAATTCAGAGAAAAATTTGTCATCAATTTCACATACTCTACTCGTAATCTTCAGAACCTAGGAAATAGGAATCAAACTACGGTAATTAAGTTAACCACTGGATCGAAGCAATATATATACGCAGACGAAGTAACTATCATGAAATCCGTTTGTAAGTACAGATGAACTTTTTTGTTTTATCTTGAACACCGATATGGATAGACAATCTCAACTGCTTATTCTATTTTCCCATTATCTCGAATCTTTGTAGTTCGGTTTCTTTGAAATATGTTACGAGCTATTACTGTATTTTACACGTCTGGGAATTTTTTTTTATTACTACATAGTTATTATAAAATTGTGATTTATGCACGTTATGCCTATGATAAACAACTTGGGCTTCAGCCAATTTGGTCAAAGGTGTCGATTTTCTAAACACAACCTTATGTTGAATCATTTGCTGTACGAGTTATCCATACTGATGAGACGGACCAATCGGAAGTCTCCACCTCTTCCACGCACCTCAGTAAAACTTCTACCCGTTAAAAATGAATTCCTTTCATTTGGTGTATTTATTTGTAACCGTATGTGTAGTAAACGGGAAAATGAGACCACGCGGGGTCTCAATTTCAAGTAAGTTTATCAGCTTTGGGACACTTATGGAGTTCGAATTTCCTCGCAGTTCTTGTCTAGATTAAAAATCAAAGTCAAACCATTGATTTTACAGCTTTAATGTCTGAAGTTATAAAATTCGATTTCTTGCAAAAGAATTCTTTTTTTTAATAATAATGTTATAATTCGAATGAATTCTACTCAGTGGTGAGAGTCACTGAGTCAGACAGCCTGACAGGTTCATTTTACCAGAGCTGGTAGGTGCCGGTGGCTCATAAATTGACCCCTCTTGAATTGTTTCTGTGGCATAATATAGATAATGAAGCATATAAAGGTTTTCGACTTGGAATGCATTTTGTAGAAGAGAGAAAACAACTCCATTGCCAACGAGGACCTGTGTTCAGAAATCACTATGATCTTAAAAATTTTCTACTTTCATTTTTCACATACGTTTTCTACTGTAATCCTATTTGCAAATCTTGTTGTCAGATCTAAATGTCCTTCAAACTTTTTGAGGATAACTTAATTTCAGTGTTATAGCCAATTTATTTTAACTAAATCAGTCTTTGACACTCATCAAAATCTTCCTGTCATCTTATTATTGAGCCTGATGCCAGAGTGGTTTTCAGGCCACCCAAACAAAAAGTTAAGATAAATTTTCAGTTTTGTATTTTGTCAAAAGAGGTAGGTTCACTAAATCCTTAAAATTGCCCTGTCCACAAAGTGGGCAAGAAGTATATGTACTTTATGTAAGCATCAATGTCATGTTTCAGTGGCCTCCAAATATCAGCCAAACGAGCAGAATAAATTTCATTGTATCAATGGAGTTGGAGAAATTCCATACGAGCACCTGAATGACGATTACTGTGATTGTGATGATGGAACAGATGAACCAGGTAAATTATCGTTTTTTAAATATTGTCAAATATTGATTAAAGAATGTGTGAGAAAATTTTAATTAAGATTTTAGTGTTGGCAGACTGGTTTGGAATTTATATTTGAATTTAGAAAGTATGCTTTTTTGCAATTTTTTTCAGAAGGTGAGGTAATTTCATAAAACTTAGTTTGAAGAAGAGAGACTTCCTTAGAATTTTTTATTATAATTCATTGAGGTTTTAATTTTGTAAACAAGGTGTCCACAAAATTTTATTACTGTAAACCAACTTTTATTCGCGACGACTTTATTTCGCGATTTACCAGGAATAAACTGGTTCGCGACGATTAATTTTCGCGATCAAGCCTTTTTGCATCTGTTTTTAAATAGACAAATATACTATAAGGACCGGTTCGCGGCGAGAAATATTCGCGACGACGAGGCTCTCGCGAACTTCGCGAAAATTTCTCGCACGCGAATAAAAGTTGGTTTACAGTATTTGTATCTCAAATATTTTAACAAATGTTTTCAAATGACTATTATAGGGACCTCTGCATGTTCAAATGGGAGATTTCACTGTACAAATGCTGGTTACGTCCCAAAGTACATACAGTCCTCCAGAGTCAATGACGGAGTGTGTGGTGAGTCTAACAGGGGTGTATAACTGTAACAGGACTAGAGGAATTACTTATAAAACATTAAAACATGATGTAATAAAACCTTTGACTGAGTAGACTATTGTGATGTTGATCGTTTGTCTAATTACAGACTGCTGTGATGGGACAGATGAATATGGTGGGAAAATAGAATGTGTCAACAACTGCAAGTAAGGACAAATTTTAAATTACAGGAAATTTCTTGAATTGCAATCCAGACTGGGAATTTTAAGAGGTGCATTATAACATTTTCAATATCCCAGTATTTTATAAAACGCTTTTAACTTTGAAATTGACCACTACTGTTAAAATATTTGTTTTGTAGGGAACTTGGAAAGGCACTGCGAGAAGAACAGGACCAGAAGAGAAGACTCCATGAAGAAGGATTTAAAAAGAGAGACGGATTCATCGCCGAAGTTAAAAGAATCATGGAGGAGAAAAATGTAATTGTTTGAACTACTTAATCTTTCCTGGACGATGACAAAATAATAACAGAATAAATCTTAATGATGTATGCTTTATAATAACAGGTAAAAATACAGGAGCTTGAGAAAGAGAAAGCAGAGCTAGAAGTCAGATTGAAGGAACTAGAAGGTATTTATAAAGCATGAATTGAGTAAGACCAGTGTCTCTACAGATTTCTTTCATTTACAGATAACATAAATATATGAGAAAAAAAACTTTCATGATCACATTGCCTCGCATGATTAAGTGCAAATAAAATTCTCTCAAACAAAAAGTGATTTACAGCAATCAGACTCCCCTATAACTGCCTCTTGCAAAGCTTTCATAACAATTAGATTAACATATATATATATATATATATATATATATATATATATATATATATATATATATATATATATATATATATATATATATAATAATGACATATTGTATAATCAACTGGATATAATTATGTAGAAATGTAACTCTTTTACATCAAAGCAATATATATTAATCAGAAGTATATTATTGCATAGCAAGATGAAGTATCCCAGATGTTCCTTGTAACACCTTTGACCATTCTTGACTTGTTACAGCTCTAAAGGCAGAACATGAGGGCCCAGAGAAGGAAGCCAAAGACCGCCATGAACAGGTGTGGAAAGGTCAGTAGAAATAAGCTATACTGTAGAATCATCCATGTTCGTTCATTTTGTTTACATATTGATTCACTGAACCATTATATTTAAGAGTAACCCACGGAATTAGGTCCCCACGAGCAGGTCAAATTTTGCTTGACCACGAACATTGACCCACATGAATAAAAATGATTACACAGTAACTGGAAAAAGGGATGAATGATGAAATTGAAAATATTGACATGTGACATGCACTAAGTTACAAAATATCTTGACCTAACCATTTATTTTTTTATATTAGAACAAAAAGAAGCTAGAGATAAGGAGAGAAGTGCACTGAGGGCCAGGGAAGCCTTTGATGACCTAGATTTAAATAAAGATGGATTGTAAGTCTCGATAAAATGTTGTTTTTTTTTAACTCGGATTATAACTTGTTAGTTGTTGCTAACTTAATTTTTACTGCATGTTATTTACCTTCAGCTGTGATATTCTGGAGATCATTCCTCACCAGGAGTTTGACATTGATTCTAATGGCATTGTCAGCGAGGAGGAGGCTAAGGTACACTCACACCAATACTTTTTTATCATCAACAAATGTGTCGGATTTTTACAAAGAAATTTCATGTTTGTTTATTTTTTTTTAAAGGAACATTTAGAAGACCAAGAAAAAGTTGACTTTAATGAATTTAGTTCTAAGATATGGGGAAACATTCAGGGTATTTACAAGAAGCTTGTCCCGGAGGAGGAGAAACAAGAGACCCCACCCCCTGCAGAACCTCAGGGTGAAACTGAACCACTGGTACCACCTGAAGAGCCTCAGGTAAGGGTATTAACCCACCCAGGTGTCATTATCTGCATGGTCCCCACTAACTTACTCATTCTAGAATGCAGGTCTGCATTCACTTTAGTTTTCATGACATCAATGTTCAATTGTTTTGGATTTCATTTAGGTAGTTCATGTCGACAAAACTCAAAATGCTGTACAATATCTTCCAAATATAGCTGTTTTTAAGTTATAAATGGTTTTGTATGGTGTTCACTGTGTCAGTGTAGTGTGTGTACCGCTGGTTTGACCAGTGTCTCTGTTGTATGCATTGTGGTAGGCTAGGCCAGGTAGTGATTTGTCTCCGCGTCTTGTAGGCCACCCCCCATGTCACGCCCCCTCCTGACGAGGGCGAGGATTATGACGATGAGGAGGGAGAGGACGAAGAAGAGGTAAGTGTTTGATGTTGTCATCGCTTCGTCCAGGTCGTAACTAGAGCTTGCTTTTACTACAGTGTTTATTGTGCAGTTTTTACACAGGATTATCAAGGGGAAGTTTAGTTTGTTTGTAACTAATAGAATCTTATTTCCGGTTAACATCCCCAAAGGTGGCATGAATTTGATGTTCTGACATGCTTTCTATAATGAGAACAATATTGCTGGAGACCATATGAATACAATTCAAATAGAATTAAGAGTATTGATTTCTTATTTATAAATAGAAAAATGAAGAATAAAGTTATAATCGCATGACAGTTTTCCTGAATTTCTACATCTTATGAAAGCAAATCATAAATGTAAATAAATCAGTCGACTAGTGTAAAAGTTAGTTAGTAATAATGCATGTTAACTTTATGCCTTAATGATTTTTAGATTTAATTTATAATTTATAAAATTTTACTATCTAGTTACAGAATTGAAATTGATTTTTGCAAGATAGTTAAATATTAGAATGAGCCTTCACAATCTTTTCATCTTTCAATTTTTGTAAAAATTGGGATGAAAAATCTATATCAGACAGTCTGTGGACAAAGGAAGAATGCTTACTCAATTCAATATATTGAAAATATCTCCTGTTGAATGGGGTGACAGCTATGTAGAATTCTCAATTGGTTGTGCACACAGATCTGTAGCTCTATTTCATTCTTATCTCTCTCTACTTCCTCCTCACTTTCTAAACAACAAGTCTAAACTACTGGAAACAACCACCAGCATGGAAAATGTGGAATTACCTGAAAATGCTGAACTTTTCCCTCCAGAAGAAAAGGTAGATTGATTCTAGTGCTTAACAGATTGTATGTTGGCATCTCATTTAAAAAACGTACACATGCCTCAAATGTCCTGAATCATGGTTTTCAGATGCCACAAATCAGAAAAGTAGATTATGCATGTGGAGTATGATAGGCTAAGAATAATTAATTCCTATTTTAATACAGTGTTTTGTCAAAAGGGCTTGGAAAATTTACCTTTGCATGAATGCTGTGCTTTTGCCTGAATTTTGCATGCTGATAAAATGTGTTGAATTTAGCTGGTTATATGAAGGAAAGTGAAAAGAAATGAAATAATTTTTAATGCCATATATTGAATATTAAATGAGCTTGGCATGTAAAGCATGGAAGAGTGATGTTTGATTTAACATGTCGCATGTGATTTATTTGGTTTATTTCATGCTGTTCCCAAATCAATCCATGATATATAAGTGTATAACAGTTGAGACGATGTTCTGTGTCCTATAGTTTTGTGACTATCTAGTGTTTACAGGTGTAACAAGAGTCAGATATCTTGGTGGTAGGCTCTGTATGCAGAGAGACTAATTCCTTAATGGATATTGTAGGCATTAAATCCAACATATCCCTATAAGTTACTGTTGATACTGTTATTAAATGTGACAGGTGGTGGTTTATTGTATGGAACAAAGATCAGCTGTGGCCAGCGTGTCAGACATCTCAAAGGTGGAATGCTACACCAAAACTTTACTTTATGGATCTGAAAAAAAATCTCTTTGGAAATGAATTATTTAAATTATTAAATTGTGAATTTTATATTCACAAATTACTTTTATATCAAAAATTTACAAATAGTATTGCAGACTCTTCTTGACATATTTTCTTAGAAAATGAATATATTGTGCATTTACTGATGGCAAATTCTTTACTGTAGAACATCTACATTTATAAATAGAATAGTTTTTGCATTTCTCTTTCAAAAACACACACACACACACACACCCAAACACACACAAAAGATACATAAAGTGATAAAAAATGCATTAATTTTTCCATGCTGAAACCACAGTTTGAAAGACATCATTTAGCCCCCTGCATATAATTTTTGTATAGCAATCCTCTTTAAACTGCATTTGCAATACAATGTTTACCAATCTTTTTTTTTTACTTCAAAAAGAGACATTTTAGTAACACAATAAATTTTTTACTCACATTCTTTCACACATTCATACTTCCCCAAATCTTTACAACCAGTATTTCTGCAGCTTTGATTTATCACTTTGTACATGTGTATGGGTTATTTGCTAATTTTTATTGAATTGTAGGAAGAAGAACATGTAGATGAGGAAAAAATGCCTGAATATGATGAAGAAACAAAGGCCCTGATAGCAGGTATATAGATATAAAATGTCTTATTATGATGAAGAAACAAAGGCCCTGATAGCAGGTATATAGATATAAAATGTCTTATTATGATGAAGAAACAAAGGCCCTGATAGCAGGTATATACATGTAGATATAAAAATCTGATTATGATAATGTAGGTAAAGATGTTTAAAATGTCTGAGCATTTTGGTCTGCCGAGACTCAATTTGCCTATGTAATGGTTTTATTATTTTCTATGAAACCTTATTCAATCTCATCCTTGGAAAGGGTAATTAAAATCCAATGTTTGTGGTAATTTCAGCTGCTGATGAAGCCAGGAAAAAATTCGAGGAAGCAGATAAACGCTCAAAAGACATTGATGGAGAGATTACGTAAGTTTTGTGTTAAATCAATCTGATGCAAGGCAGATCTCTTATTCATTCCCATCTGTAACAAATTTGTCACTGAAAACAAAGGTTGTGGTATTCTGTTGAATTTTGCTCAATACAAAATGTTCCAGCCTTAATTTGTAATTATTTGAATTGTATGACTAGACAGAAAACATAAGCACTACCAAGGGAGTTCAGAGTAATAAAGGTAATACTTTATACCTAAAGTCTGCTTTTACAGGAACAGCACAGGGGAAGACAAATATCTGACATGTGGAGGAAGATAAAACTTTAACGTCAGTTTGTAGTTAATTATTTATTCCCCTGAGTGTGACTGAAAACATCCATAATGACATGCTGTTGTCAGTTGGTTGATTAATTTTTTCCATTACATTGATGTGAGAGGAAGGTTGCAGTCTCAATCATGTAACATTAGGTGAAAAAAAGGAGAAAGATTTTCTATAGTCTATTGTCACAAACATGATTCTAGCTTAACTTAGTCTATTCGTAATCTCTATCGATACATGTTTATAAAGTCATTAAATGACTTTAATTTTAAAAAATACAGTTTAATTTTTTTTTTTATCCATCAATGGAATGTTTTGCCCAATTATAACCTTGGCTTATTTGCTACTTCATAATGAATTTTTTCTTGATTTTTATTGCGTGAATTATCCTCTAGAGATGGCATAAAGATAATGTTACTAGTACTGTACATGTATACGATAGCTATTGCTTTTCAGAAATACTAAAAAATCTTAGATAACTAAAATGTAATCATTTTTACATGTAATGCAATGTTTTCTTTATATAGGATTTACAGTGCAGTACTAAGTAGTACAAAAATGTTTCTGAGTTTCTTTCTTAATGAGAAGGAGCTACATTATACATAATGTTTGAGTAGTTGCAATTTTTAGGGTTTATAAAAAAAAAAAAGGAAAATAAAATTTTTATTCAAACTCGTAAGCCACAAATCGAGTCTTGTTAAACACAGCATTTATATATGTTTGTTCTAAATTTCAGGTCTCTGACTTCATATTTAAACACAGACTATGGCAAAGATAAAGAATTTGCTGTTTTACGAGACCAATGTTACGAATATACAGACAGAGAATATACATACAAGTTATGTCCCTTTTCTACAGCCTCTCAACGACCCAAGTCAGGAGGTCATGAAACAAACTTAGGGTGCGTAGCTTTCTGCTTGATCTCATGATTTAAATTTCTGTTTTCTATTTGGGCAGATACTTTAGGTTCAAAGCAGAGATTTTTCTCATTTGGACCATTTTGGTCAAGATGGCGTTTTCACATTTGATTCATTATAATTTACATGTATAAGGTGTGTGATATATTGTGTATATTTGATATTGGTAGGCGCTGGGGAAGGTGGGAAGATGAACATTATAAAACAATGGTCTATGACCATGGACAAAATTGCTGGAATGGACCTGATCGATCCGTCAAGGTATCCATAGCAACATCTTTTTTTGTACTCACAGATAATATTTCAATGAAATTAAATGTATTATGTGTAAATTCGACCATGAAGAAAATGTTACAACTTATAAAAGTATTTATAATTTAAATAGAATTTTTCTTCTGAGTTTTGTTTCCATGAGTTAATTATATTTTTCTAGGTCCATATAACGTGTGGTCCTGAGCACCAACTGACTAATGCATACGAGCCGAGTCGCTGTGAATATGCTTTTGACTTTGTTACACCATGTGCCTGTAATCAACCTCCTCCACCCCACGATAAAGACCCTCATGATGAGTTATAGCACTCCTGACGTTTAAACTGTGAATTCCTCTGAAAAAAAAACCCATCATGACTGTCTCCAAGAGAATCATACTGTGATCTGTTATAAAACACTCAATAATGAAAATATTTAACATTTTCCTAAATATCATCCAATCATAATTTTTTTTTTTTTCAGAATAAAAAAAAAATTGAAAGTTTTTTTCTGATCTTTATTGATAAAATGATAGAAATTTGAAAGATCTGCAAGGGAAGAGGCTGGGTTGGTGTCTTTGGGGACCAAGGACGTTCAAGGAGGGAGGAATGTGGTGGTCAGACAGGTTTTGATCGCCAGTGGCCAGATGCAATATAGCTCTATTGTAGGAGACTTAGAGGGCCCAGGTTTTATTCCCAGTCTGCTCTATATTTCTCCTCTCCTGTTACAGACTTTCTTTTTTAAATGATATACATGTAGGACAAAAGGAGATGATCAAACAAAAGTCAACATTTTTTAATGTTTTAACATCAGTGCCAGTTGGTTTTTTTAAAAAATGGAACTCATAAACTTACTTTGTCATTGGTCATTTGCAAAATATTTTGTTAAGAACAGTCGGACTGTAGACACAAGTACTTCAAAGTTGATATTAAAGGGATGCTTGAATTTCTGATTGACAGTACCTTTGTAGTGTTTAAGGGTCAAGTCATCCAACAATCTATAGGAAATCCCATGGGTACCAAATGTGCCCCATCGTACTTATTTCTGTATTCATATAAAATAGAATTCATTTCAAAATTTCGACATGAAAAGAAGAAAACTCTTACTATGGCTTTTATTCATTATTCAGATATCTCAATGACGTCTTATTTATAAGTAATAGTCATTTTAATTCAGTATATACATGTGCCTCTAAACTGAGATAAGTCTGAAACGTCTGTTTCATATTTTCATATTTTACTAGAAAAAGATGTTAATGATAACCTTACAACCAAACTCTTTGATAAATGTGAAGACCAGCTTTTCCATCATCTACTTCCCTTAGGCCTTTCTTATGTAGCAATATACCCTTCTCACATGCATACGGGGTTTTTGTCTCTCAGTTGATTAGATATGCAAGGGCATGTTATATGTTACCAACAATTTCTGAAACAAATCAAGCTGATAAATAAGTTGAAACGAGGTTATCAAATGTTATTGTTCGAAGTAAACATTTCACAAATTTTGTGGTCAGTATAACAACCTTATCAGTAAATACCATATATTACACCATCGCCATTAAATTGAATGTTGACTGAGCTTTATTCTTATAAATTGTAAGGCTATTATTATCACACTGAAATTTTATGGATTTTTTTTTTTCATTTACCACCATGACAAGGAGCACAGGTCAGGTGTGACCATTTGACAGGGGATGCTCACTTCTCCAATGCACCTGATCCTGCCTCTGATCATATTAGACATCCTTGTTTTCTCTCCAGTTTGAATACAGTTTACTTAATTCCATTTGTCATTATCAATTGTAAGCTTTCTCATTTTCATTAAATTATCTTTACACTGAATTGTTTACGGATTTTTTTTCATTTACCACCATGACAAGGAGCACATGTCGGGTGTGAGCAATGGACAGGGGATGCTCACTATCATTGTTTTCTCTCCAGTTTGTATACAGTTTACTTAATTCCATTTGTCATCATCATTTCACTATATGGTTGTGTTATTTTCTCCATTTTATTTAAATTCATAGCTCGAATATCACCAGGCTTAATCAAATCTGTGTTGTCAAAGCTCAAAGCATTTACTGAAATATTTCTTAGATATATTATTAATTTATCAGAACAAAGACATGTTTTGATTATTTTTATCAGAATTGTATTCTTTCATTAGGTTCTTTTTTCGAGCTCATATGCTCAAATATCGAGATAAATCATTTTTTCCATAGTTTACATGAAATACGTGGATATAACGAACATTATTCTATTTCAAAAGTCCATTAAATATTACAAAATAGGAGCGGAGTAAACACGGACCTCCAAAACATCAGAAGTGGGATCAGGTGCCATAGAGTGAGCATACCTACCAACCGGTCATACCCGCCGTGTGCTCTTTGTCATGATAGGGAAATAACGGGAAAATCCGTGAATATCTTAGTGTGTAAATAATGGATTAACAATTAGTAGGAAAAAATCAGTCTGCATGAAAGTATGACTTAATGATATATTGTGTTTGCTGACAAGGTCATTGTATCGACGATAGAACTTACGAAATGACGACTTTAAACTACACTGCTGATATTCTAGCTTCATCAACTTGTTTGTAAATAACTTGCATCGTTTTAGAAATTGTTCCAGGTATATAGATTAAAAGATTATCATGCTGAAAACTTTTGGAAAACCAAATGACTATATAGAAATATCAAATAGGAACTCTAGCAAACCAACTTCAGAGAACTTGTGTAAAAAACAAAATGAATGATTTTAACGAAGAAAGAGATGAAAAATAAACAAGATTCCGTATGCAGGCTATTTACGAAAATAAAAATTATATTGTTGATAAAAAAAAGAGATATCTCCAAATTTAAAGAGGAGAAGTTGAAAGAGATATTAGAAAAGTTAAATTCATCTATTTTATCATAAAGCTTTTTTGTTAAATCTCTTAACGTATAAGAGTTAAGAGATAACTCCATTAATATCTTTTTAAAGAGATTTCTTAAAGTAAAAGAGAAATATGCAAGTATTAAGAGAACGGATGTGTGCAAAAGGAGATATCTCTTTATTGCAAAGAGATATTTCTCTTCATTTTTTTTTAATCTAAATTCCATTTAAAATGACTTCTCTTACCGATATATCTGTTTATTCACGGTAGACATAAGAATGGAAATAACTACATTATGTTATTTGACAAAAAAATTAATCAAGTAATTCAGTGTTGTCTAGATTTCATATTTGTAATAATCGATTATTTCATAAGCTGAAAAAAATTCGGTCCATATTGCATTTGAGATTATATAAATATGCTTGCTTTCGTTTTCCTTAATATTAAACTTTTTGAAGTTGCCATTATTATTTGTTGTTTCAAACAAGGGATTTATAGCATTTTTGTCTACATAGTTTATATATTATTCAGGGTATTGCATGCTCAGTCTTTTTCTTATGGCAGCGAAACTATTCCAGAGACTTTAATTACTTCCTGTTTCGCTTTAGTTTTAAAGTGGAGAATTTATTATTTTATTTCAAGGATCTTTGGAAAAGAGATATCTCTTTCATTAAAAGATATATCTCTTTAGCAAGTTCTGATCTCTCATATAAAGAATATATATTAAAGAGATATCTCTCTGCTTAAAAGATATCTCTCTTTTTTTAAAGAGATATCTCTCTAAGTTATAAAGATATCTCTATTAGTCAAAGAGATATCTCTCAATGCTAGAGAGATATCTCTCTTATTGAAAGAAAATTTTTATTTTACGAATAAATACTACAGTAGTAAAAGGGCTTGCCGTATATTCAAGAGGCATTAATTTTGTCTGTGATTTGATATCAAAAGTTTGGCAGGTATAATGAAAAAGTCACATGCTTCGATATTATTGACTTTGGAAGGAGGGGTGTTTCTGATTTTCTAAGAATTCTCTTGAGTGTTTGAATATTATTAATAACAACTATTGTTTGTTTAATGTCGAATCGGCAATATTTCGGCGAAACAACTGGTGAGAAATATAGACCGCGTTTATCATAAAGTACCGATACTAGCTATCTTAAATGTCGACCCTTTGTTTTGGGTGGTGGAGGGCACTTCTGTCACGATTGTCGTGTTTGACAGACGTTTAACAGAGTCCGTCTGCTGATACTCAGTATCTTAAAGCTGTTAGCTCCGCATATCATCCGAAATGTTATCATGGAAGTGATTTGTTAAAAATAATACATGATATCGTTATGGCAACAGTCGTCTGCATAATAAATGATCGTCCTTTCTGTAATTTGAGTATCAAGTTAACACTTCATATACCGTTTGTTGCACCTGCTGACAAGAAGTCGAACGGGAGAAAGAAGTATTTGTTTTGTTTTGAATATGTTGATTTTTTAGCTTGAGAGTTTAGAAAGCTTTGCGGCCTGAATTCTATTTAAAGTGAAATTCATCAAACATGTCTACTATGTTCTATAGGTTCAGTTCCATACAACGTCATACCATTATTTCACCAGTTCAGTTGGATTATTTGAGGAATAAAGTGTGAGGTTTGCGTTAAATGAAAATTTGCAACATGTACCTTTATTTTAAGTCATCCCACAAGATCTTTACAATGTAAATGGTATTTTTTGATTTGATTTCATTAACTTATTTTAAAAGACCATGAATCTGGGAATTTTTTAAGATTTATTTTCTATTTTTTTTTTAATCCATACAATGTCGTGTCATATAGTTATTTTTTTAGGTGATATAATTTATTATGTTTATAGATTTTTACCCCTGGCTTGTTCAGAATTCTATGGGTCTAATTAACAAGAATCAAACAGTTCACTTACATTGCTGTAAAAGCAGGAAATGTTTTAGTCCATCTGGCTCTTATGTTACCAAACACATTTAATTAGCTAATGCATTCATACCATTTTATCAAATATAGATTTTATCATTATTTGATAATTTTTTATGCTCTCGTATGAAGACATAATTAATCTTTTTTTTTTCAATCATAACCAAAGAGGATTATAAATATTTCCTCTAGATTTTTTTCCAATATTAGGTTAAGAACTTTCTAAAACTGATTGACAGCTGTTAGTGCTTTTTTCTTCCTATTCATTATTTCAGATGATGACGTCACCAGACCATGTTTTTGGTTTGACTAATTTAGCTCTACGGGAAAAGTGCAACATATGGTGGAAACACTGATGCTGGAAATGCATCTATGAAGCCACGGCCACAGATGCAGTGATAAATCTTCCTAATTCGTCTTTATCATCCAGGCACGATAAATGAGTTTCATTATTCATACTCTTTATTGTAGGTTAATCTTCAGTTTACTAGTGTTTAATCTCAAACGTCCAATCAAACTACAAATCGGGAGCAATCACAAATCTCTAAAACATCAGCGGTGGGATCAAGTGCCAAGAAGGAGTAAGCACCCGATCGACCATACCCGCCGTGTGGTCCTTGATAAAAAAAAACCGGGAAAATCCTTAGACAATAAAAAAAATTATTGTATAAATAATGGTCAAACAATCTGTATGAAAAACGTCAACATTTGAAAAAATGATAAATTGTATTCGCTGACAAGGTCATTGTATCGACCAAAGAACTTGCGAAATGATGACTTTAAACGACACTGCTGATATTCTTGTTTCTCATTATCTTAACTCGTTTTAGAAATTGTCCATACTTAGACTCATTTGAGAGATCTAAATTCTTTATGCAGGTGACGAGGGTATATTGCTAATAATAAGTGAGGGAAGTAGACGATTGAAAAGAAAGTCATCAAGTTTATCATTAAGCTTTGTTGTTAGATTACAATCAACGTCTTTTTCAAGTAAAGAATCTAAATATGAAACAGATCTAGAAATATTAGACTGTGTGGTGTATTTTTTTCATGCTAACTTGGACATATATACGAAGAGAAATATTAGACCGTGTGGTGTATTTTTTTCACGCTCACTTGGACATATATACGAATGGAAGAAAGTATTGCTAATTGATAATACGTCGTCGAAATGTCGAGATGAAGGTCACAACAAATGTTTTCTTTTTCTAATGTAAATTATTTTAAATATCTTCTGGTTCTTTAGAATTAAAAAAGTTCTGTTAATAATGGGGCGCAATTGGTACCCATGGAAATTTCAACAAATTGTTGGGGAAAAAAAACTAGTCTCCAAAAAATCACACAGATATTGTCAATCAGAGACTCAAGCATCTTTTTAAGATGAGCATTGGATTATTTGTGTGTGCAATCAGAATGTTTTATAACATTATGATGGACCAATAATATGTGTAGTAAATTTATGAGTTTCATTTATTTAAAAAAGCAGATATCAATGATGTCAAAAAGGCTGGACTTTAATTTATCGTGAGGAATAGTTGCAAATGTAGAGTTGAAAAGTCGTAAGTTTTGATATTTTCACAAATGGTGGACTTGAAAGAGGGAGTTTGAGGACTTATGGCAGCTTGAGTCATAATTCTACGTCTCACTTTTTGCAGTTCTTTCTGAAAGTATTTTAATTTCTTCCTTTTGTTTTAATTGAGTTTCCCTCTGGTTAACAGGGTGCATGGTCGTCCGTTGGCGTTTTCTTTTCCACGAGGATTAAAGTATTGAATTATGATTGAAGACAACTGTACAGTGAAGAACGACAGAGCTAATATATATCGAGGGATTTACATCCTTTTAATAATGAAGTTATGACTGTTAATTAAGAAAAAAATCAATAAAATTTCTGCTTTGCTGGAAGTTTTTGAGATTATTAAATATTATGTAATAAAATGAGATTTTGTGTATCACTGTGAATAGCTGAGTTATCGATTAGCATTGAGTCTGATGAGAATTTGACAATACTTTTTAGAGTTGTTGTCTTTTATTGACGCAAAAATCTCAAATAAATGTTTTGCAGGATTTATTCCATTGAAAGTTTAACGTATTAGATATATTCAGATTTGATAAAGTGATATATTGGATTTTGTTACAAAAACTTTTTTTCTTATAATGATATGACCTTCTACAGGTATTATAAAAATAGCAGTAGAGGATGCATTTTTATCATAAAAGTTCAGCGGGACCATACTATCCATAATGCTTACAAGCGTAAACTAATCCTTTCAATAACTAAGGCCAGAAACTTTAACAATCAAACGCACGAAGACCATCCCCTTAATAACCTATGATGAGTACCTCCGCCAAATTCTATGTACGACATGTCATGAGAAAACTATTTTACAGACGAAAAAGAAATCCATGTTTTGCTCTGTTCAAGTTTCAACGAATTTATGAGATTTAGACTGTTTGTTTCCTTAAATTCATCTTTGTTTCACAGAAACAAAACAGAGGATGCTGTGTGACCCTATGACTCTTCAAGAACGAAGAGAAAAGAGTAAGTACAATCATGCAAAATATGTTTTAGATTTTAGAAGCACTCTGTAACATAGGGTCTGAACACATGTCTAAGACAGTCGATGTTACCCGACTTATCCACTAAACTAAGTGTGACAGATTGACATGAAACATATAATTAAATTAAAAAAATGAGAAAAAAACCAGTGCGATTCATCCTCACTTCAGAGTAACTCGTGGTACCGGCTCAGGAAGTGATAGAATTTGTACTTGAGTTGTGAGGGCGAGGAATACGTCACCAATGTCAGGCTCTGTTGGTATTAATCTTCCTTTAGTAGTGGTGATTACATGATGACACAGAATGGAGAACAGAGACTGACACAAAAACCAAATATTGGTGACACGGGAGCAATTTGTCACCAGAACTTTATAATTGTCAGTGTGGTTACAGACAGATTCCAGGAAGAATATCATTAAAATACACTTGGTCGATCTCTGGTGACAGATTGTTAGGATGAATCTGACGTAGTGTTCCTGAGACCAAACTTAATCATTACTCACCTCCCTAAAATATTGTAAACATAATTGGTGAATTATATAAAATAACGTTCATTTATCAATCACAAATCTGAAAACATACAAATGAAGACGTCCTTGTTAGAAAATAAGAAACATATAAATCAATGGAATGTCTCGATCTGCCGCACCTTTGAATGTGAGATAATTGTTCTTTATCACAAAGTAGCTTTGATTATCTTCATACGGAGTAGCATTCCAAGTAACGACTAAATACAACAATAAAAAAGTCATCGCCAAATCATATCAACTAGGGAAAACAAATAAAAGCGTAAAATTAAATTCGCAAACTCGTATATCTGCATTACCAAGATTGCATAATATAGTAATTAGATTGGAATTATATGGCTATTTCCATCACTAAATCTCTCTTATCTCCATCACATCTCTTGAAATCTATTGACAAATTTTCAATTTCCTTAAGCTCAGTTTGGAAATTTTTGCACTAATATCGTTGAATAGCTTTATGGGGCTTAATTGCTAAACAGCCTTTCCTTAGCTGTATAACGATTAAACACAGCTGCCTCTTGTAAACAGTGAGTACCGTTTCTGTCAACACAACCCTCTGTCGGGGGATTAGGATCCAACAGTCGGTCGTCAAGAGCGTGTTAGACGTCCGTCTCTAATAATGGCTTCGGAATGATGTGATTTTTGCTAGGTTCATACGCGGACATCGTCATTGTATGGAACGCCCTGATTGCAACACTGTTCACGTTGTGTTCCTTTGTGCTTTTGCCGAAAGGCATTCCTTTGAAAAAGAAATCAAGAGCCACTTCCTCTTCCATTCGTTTTCGTTCTGATCTGGAATATTTGATTAACATGATCACAATGCCGGCTGAATAAAAGACCAGAACCGCCACAATATACAGTACAGCACCGTGATCCGCCCCCGGTGGCTGTTCCTCAGGGGTTCTAGTACAGTTATGAATAAGGTTGCCATTTTCTACAGTAATTTGAATGTTGTTACTTCCATTGATTAAGCCACATGTTGTGTGCAAAAGTTGAATCAACCTTTCAATGGGTTTCGTTGAGCTGTTATTAAAAGACATGTCGAACAAACAGTTGCACTTCAACTAGAAATGGTTAACTGTGTATTGGTAATCCATTGTACTTTCCGTCTGTCATTTCCCTGACTGTACCTTTGATTTCGCACGTGATCATAGGACTAAGCATTCTGTTTGTTTAAAATTCCCCTGATCTTTGATTTAATTACATCTCTTTGCAATGTCAATATACTATTTGGTTCGATTTCACCTCTGCAAATAATGAACTTTGTAGCATTGAACAATTTACTCAGCACTCCATGTGTTTCCATCTGACGGGATTAACACTTTTACATAATTAATCTCCCAGAAAAAAGTCACTTTCATCAAACATCATACATAGATACATGTAAGAATAAAAATCAATATGAAATTGTGTCAAACAGTCATATCCATAAACCTGGGGCATCTGACGCGTCTTCTGGGGAGGTCTCGTCTGGTTCTGCTGTTTGGCGCGAAAAATCAACGTTCTCCACAAAGTCCCCCTGAAGGCCACCTCTGAAGTTGAAACTCCTTTGGGAATTGTTAACTTATGTTGGGTATCTGAAAAAGATCAGTGACTATTAATTGCAGCTCTCAGACGACGAACATCCAGCTAACATAATGCATAATATTTACCCGTACGATTTATAGTATATGTTATTTACCAAACGATACTTCATCTTTTGTTTTCAGACGATGGTAAAACCAAATTGAACAACCAGGTATTTTTTGCTGCAAATATGAAGATGCACTTTTTATATCAAAGGAAATGTATCATGTATAAAGATTAAATCTATTAACCTACTTAAATAGAGGAGCAACCGACTTTTGGAAAACGATGAACATCTGTGTTCTTATGAAATTAATCTAATCAAATATTCCAAAATGTTAAAATGAGAGAGTTACCGTGACGACCAAAGTACGATATTATCATTTTCCCCTCTTGTTAGATAGATTAGATAGCAGCTTATTTGAGAGGGTTTTTATATAACTTTGCATGATATTCCTATCAACTGACAATAAACGACGCATCAGGCAATAATACATCAATGTACTTTATTTTGATATACACCGGGGGTCTGATAGATACATGCGAGTGTTTTTGCAAACAAATTGTACAAAAGGTATAGATTTACCATATATATTTTTCCCCTAACATTCAATGTTTTTTAGGGAAAAGCACATGTTAAGAAAATCTAAAATTATAAATGGAAGCCATGAAGGACATTGTTTGGCGTCTAAGTATATTAAAACATATTTCAAGTAAAAGTTGTCATAATACACGAAAGTCAAGATATACATCCTTTCTGTGTCATAAAGAATTGAAACAAGTTGCATAATAGTATTTAAATAAGTCAAAAAATGTTAGTAAATGTATGAAAATATTACATCCAAGGGCTTCCGTAATTATGTCATTTGCTATACAGAGAAAATAATTATATAAATTAACAAAATGTTTATGTTATAAAATCTAACAAAGTTTATTTCGCAAGAAGCAATTGAAATCAGGCAGGTGCGTGAAACTTTGCTTCCCTGCCCATCTCGTTTTGGTTGCCATCAACGTCTGGAATCAGAACCTATTAATAAGCATTAAGGTATTTCTTTCTTCTTATACGAGGGATAACAATATATTATCATTCAAAAATTTAATTTCTTCGGCTGTTATTTACTTATTTGAAAGTTTGTCATTTTTTCAATACTGCAAACTTGTTTGGGACAAAGTAATAAGCTCACAAACTTTTTTGCCTTAAACAACACTTTTGATAATTATTTATTTTATCCAAAATATTTGCACTATTCTTTTTTTAAAGAACTTACTTTGATTGTATTCATCGTTAAATACATCAAATTACTTCGATAAAATCACATTAATTCTTCACAAAAGTAGAAGTTGACATTAAAGAATACAGGAGTTCCTAACAGACATCATTTATGTAGTCTTCAGAGACTAAGATTTCCAACAAAATGATGGAAATCCATTGAGTACTAACTGTGCTACTTTTTTTAGTCAACTTGTTTTTATATTTCCATAAAGTAGATTTTAAAAAAAATCTACAATAGAAGATGAAAACACTCGCTGTGGGCTATAACTCGAACCATATCGACAATGTTTTATCAATAGTTACTTTTAATCATATGTCAACCCAATATACGTATCATATACCAAGAAGTCTGTCAAATTTTTCATATTTTGATGTTAACTGACTTAAGACGATAAGGACCAACTTAAACTAAATTGTATAACAAAAGAGATAGTTTTAGCAACTCAGCAACTTTTCTTATTAATGTTGTAACTTACCCAAAAACATGTTACTGCCAGATAAATTGATGTAACATAGATTTTGCTAATTACCCCGTTAAAAGTTAGTTTTTCTTTTCGTTATTATGTCATTGATAATAAATATAATCTATGATATGGTCGTAGTTTTGCTGACTTGTTTTACATCAATTTTTAGGCGTTTAACTAAACCTCTTTAAACAGAATTTTCGGTTAGATGATCAATACACTAACGTTGGATGTGACCGGTCGACAGGGAATGCTTGCTTCTCCTAGGCACCTGATCCCTCCTTTGCAATTTCTGGGGTCTGTGTTTTAAGCCCTTTTTACTTGACTGATTTGTATAGCTTGTAGATTTTTTTTAGACCGGTGTTTTGTTATCTTCGCCATTTTCAATAATGAACATAAGTAAACTTCCATCTGGTGATCTGTACGGGATAAAAATCAATGGCGTGATTTTTTTTTTTATTTGCAATTTTTCATGAATTTAAGAGCAGTGGGATATAAAGTCAGAAAAGTAAATGAGGATTAAGTCCTTTGGTGCTGGGACACCGCCCCTTAAATGCATCCTCCTACTCAATGAGTCAAGGTAGGACACAACAGGCAAATATATCGTATGGGAACTGTGGGAGAAACAATTGTTTGATGCCGCTTATATCAATGGCCCCATTGCTCACACAGGACCGTTTTAATTAGAATTTTATTTTTATCGATTTATGTCTAGAACAGCAATTTAACAACAATTCATTACATATTTATTTCTCTGGAGACCATGAAAGACGCCTGCGTTCAAAATGACACTCATTACATTTCATCAGTCCTCGTCATTAACGATTCAAATTGTTCTAGTTTTATTTACATTAAGGGAGTTTGTTTTCCGACATATGCACTCATTGAATCATCGTTTGTTCTTACCTATTACATGAAATGCAGATAAATCTTCAATTATAGGTATATGAACAAAATTTAAATAAAACAAAACTTACTAGTATTATGATAAGAATTATTGATGTAAACAAATATTTAACATTGAAAATAATTTTCCCTAAGTAACACTGTTTTAGCAATTGTGTTTAGTAATGAAACATACGGAGATAACGAACGGTATGAGATCCATGTTAAAATCGCGTATTAAAAGATAGAGGGGCAATATGAAAACCATCAATCCTTCTGTATTAAACAATCCAGAAGTGAAAAATTTAGATAGATTACATGATCAGTACGTACTGGTCCCCGCTGACAAATCAGGTAACAACATTGTCTTTGTTTGTAAGGCTACTATATTAATTGTATTTTAGAAGAACTTGGATTTAATTCTACAAGTGGAAATCCAACTTATACTCATGGTTCCCTTTCTAAGGAAGAAATTCTTCAAAATCATATGTCAGTTTTGAATATTTTTAATATTCCAAAGAACCAAAATGAATTTGAACTACCATATAGATATATTGGATTCCAAAACTTCATAAGAATCCTTACAAACAAAGATACATAGCGGGTTCCAGTAAATGTTCAATCAAGCGTCTTTCGTTACTCCTCACTGAAATATTAACAGTAGTGAAGAAGAAACTCCAAGAGTACAGTGCAACAATATATTCAAGAAGTGGTGAAATCAGATGTGGATACTCAAAATTCCAAGGAACGTTTGGACAAATTGAGATTACAAGATTTTACCAAAATCAACAGCTTAAAAACTTAATTTTCAACTTTATACACAACCATTCCCCCACGATAAATTAGGGTCCAGGCTAGCTTTTTGTTATCATTGTCAGCTGCTTTTCAATAAAAATAAAACTCTTAAAATTACTTACCTTGTCATTGGTCATTTGCAAAATTATTTTGTTGAAAAACATTCTGATTGTACAAACAAGTACTCTGAAGTTGACATCAAAAAGATGCTTTTGTTTCTCATCGACATTATCTATATATTGTTTTTGGAGACCAGGTCCCCCAACAAACAATCTATTGGAATTCCCATGAATACCCGTTATTTGCAGATCTATTTTTGTCTTCATATGAAGGAGAATTTGTGCAAAATCTTATGCGTGAAAAGAAGAAAACACTTGCTGTGGCCTTCAGCTCGACATTTAGATATATCGACGACGTAACTATGGTTATTTCCATGCTTATGTGGATACGATATATCCTGATGACTTTAAACGAGACTGCTGATATTCTTGTTTCATCAACTTGTTTGTCAATAATTTACCTCGTTTCAGAAATTGTTCATACGCAGAGCATGCTCTTGCGTATCGAATCAACTGAGATATATAAACTCCGTATGCAGGTGATGAAGTTTTTTGCTGCATATATAGGTAAGGGAAGTTGACGATAGAAAAGTTAAAGTCATCTGGTTTATCATAGAACTTGGTTGTTAGATAAATATTAACCTCTTTTTCAAGTAAAATATCCAAATATGAAACAGATGTGTCAGACTCTGTGGTATCTTTTATCTCAAGCTCACCAGGATACATGTATATCGTATTGACATAAGAATGGATATTACCATTGTTAATTGACAATACGTCGTCGATATATCTAAACTGTTTATTTTGCACATTTATGGTACAAATTTCAACTTTTGTACAATACAATCTCTAAAACGTCAACGATCCTTGAATCATAGTTATACACATGACATGAACTAAAAATTGTTGCACAAAAATATTTCAATTTTAAGCATATTTTAAAACTTTCATGAGATTTCTATAATATCCGATCTGCTTTAAATCAGACACAACTGTACATATGAGTAAAAAGGAGTGGTTTCAATGTAATATAGATTGGTACCTTATGAAATCTATCAGAAAGCCTTCCAGCATTATAGTATTCATATCCTGATTTTTAAAAAAAGAAAGATATAAAATTCTATTTATGTATTTTTAAATAGAATTCGACAGATATTCTTAACTTTCTAAATGAAAGTTCAAAATCACCATAGTAGAAAAGTAATAAGAACAGGGTGCCTTGTGTACCTGAGAAATACTAGGTGAAAATGACGATACATGCCTCGTTTGATCATTAATGAGGGGCATGTCTTACATCTCATCCCATTTACCGAACAACAGATCACTAAAATCACACACAATTACTGCACGTAAAAGCAAGGTTATAAGCAAACATTAAGTAGCTTATTTTCTATCAAACGATTCTGATTGGAATAGAGTACTTGAATACGACTGCACAAGCTTTGCATTGAGCAAAGGAATAAGAGGTTTACACAAATTGTCGATAATTTTTATACGATTGAACTTAATATCATTCATTTTCCCCCAAAATACCGTGTATTAATGGCATTATTCTACAGCTGATGACGATAGAAAACAGATCGATAAAATCGTTATGTATATTTGTGAATAAACTTCATAAATAAATAAACAGAACCAATAATCGGCCTCATTATCCCTGCAATTATCCTAATGGTATGTGTAATAAGTAACATATAAACATACAGGGCTCAGAATCAAACTGGAGATCAATCGAGAAAGGTGTTTTAATGAAAAAAAAGCATTGTTTGTTATCTCCACATGTCTCATTTACGAAAATAGATCAAGTTACAACAACAGTAATAACAAATACATATATATACCTTAGAAAAATCTCACGACACAAACAACATATAACTGTACATGTAGTTGATTTCATTATTTTTTGCTTTAAAGCTTCGTGTATTTTGAGAAGTGCTTTTGTTCAAATGGAACTGGAGACTATAGCTAAACACATATTTTTATATCTTGTAAGTTATTTTTTTTCCAAGATTGAAATCGGAAATACTAAATTAAAAATGAGTGACCTGTTTAAATGCATACACTGCAGAGCCCTCCCCCACCCCACCCCCGATCCCCCAAAAGAGAATCATGACGTCTGTACCGTGATATACATACTAATATTTACATAAGAGATCTCTTATATTCTTTTTCTTAAATTAAACTGAAAGAAGGAATGAAAAGCATTTGATTAAACTATAGTGGCATATAATTCAGAACTGGACGAACTGCTGGTATTATATTTACACATAACAAATCTAGGAATATATATACATATAAGCAAACAAAGTTCTCATCTGCAATCATTCCATTGCATTTTCTGTATAAATAAAGAAAATGCTACCTATATTTTCAAAGAACTTTCCCAAGAAAATTTCAGCACCCATACACATTTAATTTGCTTATCATATTTAGATAAAAATGGAGAACATTATAAAATGATTCAGTATCAAATAAAATACGGAGACCTTGTCATATACATTTCTACTGAATATTTGCATGTATATATTTATATTTTTCAATGTTATATTAATAATGTTTACTTGTACATGTATGATTTTGACCTTGTATTGTGGAAAGGACTTATATAGGCAGTGCCTGCTGTCCAATCCAATTATGTTTTATCATAATAAAATATTGTTTAAATTAAAATACGGAGACAGCTGTAGAAATAATCGCTTACCTTCGTCACTCAGGTCCAGAGTGCCTGATCTCGAGTAGAAGTCGAGATAACATCAAATGTCTCGTGCAACACAAGCAGCGTGATTTGCGCGCCAATCCTAGAACTCGCAGACGACCAGAGGAGAGACAAATTGGGGTAGAACGAAGTTCAACGGTGAGATTAAAATGTAAGTTATGTATTATTGATACAGAAACAAATTCACAATGATCATTAAAACCTTTTCTACAATTGTGTTAAGCCGTGAAACCCGATCAATCGGTGAAAACAAACATTGATCACTTCGTTAGAGCACCGTCATTGGGTGATAGTTACTATCGTTAGAGTGTTTGGTCCATTACTGCTGATTGTAATTACGATTGACTGACACACATATATCACTGGATATGTTGTAAACTTGTGATTCGACTCTATCTTAAAAACCAATCTCCTCCCATCACTAAATTACTAATTCTTAAATCCATCAGTGACGTCACAAATTTAAATCCTCACTATTTGCAAGTGCATCACTCTAATATTTGCTAATCTAACGATACCCCACCGAGAATTCTTAATTAATGTATAAAAATAAATGAAAATAATATTCAAGAGGCTTATTTGCTTAATGCAAACTTTAAAGACTGAATAAACTATAATTATACAAATAAAGCAAACAGACTTCACAATTTTGTACAGTATCCCTCACATACAGAACTTTTATTAATCAGAAATTTAATATTAAAAAAAAACTTTTGTGCAAATTTGTCATAAATGCATTTTAATCAAAATTGTTTCTTTTTAACGATTTCACTCTCTGCACGTCCTTCTGTATAAAAAATACAGGTCCATAAATAGTAACCTCCCTTCATAAGTCGACAAAATCCCAGTGAATCTTAATCATATGTTTCATATTTGGATATTTAATTAAAAAGAATATGATGGTAATGAATGTCGTTTTTCATTCTTATTGTTAGGTCATCTACGAGTTTTTCTCTTTTTTTACCGACCATGACAATTACTGTAAATTACTGTAAACCAACTTTTATTTGCGATGATTTTATTTCGCGATATACTGGAGTAAAACTAGTTCGCGACGATTAATTTTTGTGATCAAACCATTTTTAAATCAGTTTTTGAAAGACACACAGACTTTAAGGACTGGTTCGCGGCGAGAAATATTTGCGATGATGAGGCTGTCGCGATCTTCGCGAAAATTTCTCGCCGAGAATAAAAGTTAGTTTACTGTAAGTCGGCATGGAATGTTCACATTCCACAAGTCGGCATGGCATGTTCACGGGTGTGTCCTGTTGAGCTAAATCCCTGCTTTGTGTTATCATTAAATGTGTACTTTTTTCTTATTACTGGTCTTCTTTTAAAAAATTCCACCGCATGTGCTTCCTAAGTTTTTCCTAATTTTTATAATATTTAAACATTCCATAACGATTAACGAAAATTCCTTCTTTCACTGCAGGAATTCTTTTCACCTTTTACAGGATTCATTATTTTTTCCGAATTCTTAACCCCTCGTTTAACTTGCTAGACGTGTTATTTGAGTTGCGTGCTAATATTTCTACTCTTTCTAAAAATCCACACATTACTATTAAACCATTGTTTACCATCAGAAAACCTAAGATCCGCCCCCTAGTTCCATGTTAAGATGTATCATTATTTACCTTCAGTAGACGTATGATCCGCCCTTGGCCCGGTGCTAGGTGTGGCAGTTGACCCTTTCATTCTTGACCAATCGAAGTCGTCAAACACATCATACGGGCAAAATGTCACACATAATGTAAAAGAATCTTTACTTATATGGTCTTCAAAATTTCATAAATGTTGTAAATTGGTATCAATTTCTACAATTCTTTTTTAAGCTTTCTTTCATAACTTCATCTTTTCATACTATCCGTTCTTTTGAATGTGAGAGGAGCTGATGCTGATTGTGAAGTAATACACTTTGCAAGGCTATTTTCTATAAAAGAGTGATTTTTTTCTATCCATTAAATATTTCTTTTGAGATTAACGATGTAACAAACAAGACACAATTCGAGTTCTATTAATGTGTTTTATTCCTAACTTGCTCTCTACAATAACCCAATTACTGATTTCCTATCGGAGATTTGAGGTAACAAGTGCTATCTTTCATTTTATCAAGTGATGAATAACTTTTTTCCTCTGTAAATAAGGGACAGATATTTGAGCGGACGGTATTTTATATACAATGACATCATGCCGAGGGTTCTTGTCATCACATTTGCCAAATCGTCAGAGATTAACAAGATAAGTAGACAGGAACAATAGGAAGTCACTCAAACCACCCCAGATCTTGTAATGATATCCGTTTGTACCAGCTCTAAAGCATTAAGAAATGTCTTCTTACACAATAAAAAACCCAGTCTCCCAAGTATCGGTACAATAAGATCAATACTAACAGGAGATGGACTGAAAATAAAAGAAGTGGAATAATCTCCAAGATAATCACTACGTAAGAAAAGCTATATAATGATAACTTCATCTCCTCTAATTATCTATCTACTACAAAAGATACAACGTGTTGAGGTATTGATACTTATTGTGATGTATTTCTATTATTTTCTAATGCTTGCAACAGAAATAGATTTGTACATACAATCTTCAACAAAGACGAGAAATTCTATCCAAAGAATATTGTCTCGAGTAACTTTGATGAGAATACACTTTAAATATTCATTTGTTTTTATGATACACTAGTAATTGAATGCATCGATTTTAAAAATATATACAAAGACAGAATAGAATACATGACTAGATAAATGATATAGTGTTATATACTGGCACAAACATATTTCACTCGGTTAACATGCACTTAATTCCTTTTTATTTATTTTGTCTTCTCTATTGATTGATTCATTGCACAGTCTAGCACCATTTATCACCCTTCCCATCCACCAGAAAGTCACGGAGTATTGTAACCAGAATCAACCTGTGGAGTCTGGGATTTAGCAGATTCCATCATGTCTTCACTAGATGACATAGCAACTGTAGCTTTCCCGAAAACGTTGGAACCACGAAATGGACCTGTACTGCCCGGAAGTGACCAATCAGATCCACTGTATAAGTCACATGAGCTGTAAAAAGATTCCCGACTCGAGTTGTAATGTCTCTTGACTTTGATGTTCTCTATCGTTTCATTTAGGGTCAATAGTTGCTCCATGAGAGTCAGGTCTTGATCCATCAAGGAAGCCTAGATAAATTAAGATTTAAATATGTAAAATTTGGAATTGAATTACCTCCATGTATACCTTAATAATGTATTTTACATTGTTCCCAAGGATTTACTTTCATGAAAATGATTTGAAAAATGTTTCGAAATTTTGCCAAATAATATTTTCATTTCCTATTTTAACAAACTTTTAGGACAAGTCATTTAACCCTCCGTATAATTTTATACATTTTTTTCCGTTACGGACAATTAAATCTTTAAAAATAATGCAACAGAGGTAAAACAAAATCGGTATTTATACAAAAGAAGGTTTCATAGTATCCAATAGAAATGAACTTAACATACCCAATTTAAAGAACACCCAAATTTGAGTCATATTTCAAGCCCTAATAATTTTCCTTTCAAACCTATTTTCTCAGTGAAAGAAAATCCGTTTATTTTGATCTTATCGAAGAAATATGAGTTCTTTAATAATATTATTGTTAATATTAATATGCGCTCTTTCTCACAAAACAAAACATTAACTTGCCAAATTAAACCACAATCATGAACAGTTTTATATCTTATACTGAAACAGGGTTAAGCTCTCAGAAAAAAACTCATCAGAAATAATATATAGTTAATGGACCATACTCATGGGGAGAAAACCTTGTTTTTCTACCAAGATTTAACACTTCTATCGATATATTGTATCAATCCGATCAAATGAAAGTTTTACTGTATTTTAATATTGTTACCAATTAGCTCAATTACAGTAAATTAGAGGAACCAGTTTAGCAACAAAACTAATTCACCTCCATATAATAAAGATAAAATGATTGTCAATTATGCACTATAATCAAGAGAAAGTGCAAGAGCTGTAGAATGTAAAATTGAGAAATTAGCTCTTAACTCACCATTTCTCGCCGCAGTCGCACCATGGCGTCGTCAATAGAAGTGGTCTTCCTCTTTTTGTAGTTTCTTTTATCTTGGTCTTTCTGAATATCGTTTTTGAACGATTCAGTGGCATTTTTTCTGTTGATGTAAAACTGTCGACAGGCATTCTGGAAGATAACACTTTCCTCGTATTCTGACATATCGTCTGAATCATTTTCACTTTCATCATCATTTTCATCGTCATGTACATTTTCTTCTACAATTGAGTTAGATGAGACGCTCAAGTCACTATCTGTGGCCTGCATTTTGACAAAGCAGGTAAATGACAATGTAAAGGACACTATACAAGTCTTAGATGAATAAAACCCCAAGATCTTCCTGGGTATATATTTCAAATATGATCACGTGATTCTTGGTTACCCTTCCACTAGTTATTTAAAACAATGATGTGTTTGTTACTTGTAATAATGCTCGGTAGGTCAGTGGGTTTGGAAAAAGAGAGACAATGTAATAAGTATTTATCAATTACCAAGTTACAATGCATGAGTCAAAAGATTTTTATACAAACTCAGGTTAAAACTGATGTGTATATCAAGTCAATGCTCTGATAATATCCAAATTATCGTATATTCACTAAAATTGTGAAAAAGGGTTTACTTGTGAAATTATCACTCGTTAGTTAACTATCATTATACGAAGTGGTACCTTTTCAATGCTTCACTTATGTAGAATAGGTTAGCTAGTATAGTATAGAATTTATTCTCTCATGCTCTGCGGAGTGGCTACCCGCTTCACGCTCCCAAAGACATTAAAAATCACTTCCTTGTCAGAGAGTTAACTTCTCATAATTATCGGGTCAAAGTCCTGTAGCCTGATTACTTCATGTCTGAGTTTCTGTTTTAAAAGAGTTTAAAAAAGGGACAGTGGGGTTACGTTTGATTACACAAATTATAATTAATGCATTCACGATTAATATGCTAATAACGATCCCCTCCTCCTTGCCTGTGAAAGATTTGTTATATATTTCAAATTATACTTCATTGTTTTCAGTTCTATAAAAATGATTAAAATATTGCTTTTAAAATGACAATGAATAATAAATTTTGTGATTTTTTGCAATGATACTGTGTTATGTAAGTTACAGCCTGTCTCCTGAAATACAATAATGGAAGAATTTGTTTTTAATATGTAATTAGGAATTTCTTCAGAAATGAACTTGGTAGAAGAAAAATTCTTGCATTTCACCCAGGTCTTTACTCTTACTTAGATCTCTTTAAATCTTATTTGAAAAAATCATCAACATTTTTTTATCAGTTCTTTGACGTTGAATATATCGACAGTCGTATCATTAAGTATCATCTAGTCTCATTATCTTTCTTCATTACACGTAATAAAAGCATCATGGCAATCATAACTCCAATGCAGCGGCCGGTGTATTATTTTCCATTAGTGTCGGGTGTATAATTTCCAAACGGTGTCTTCATATTTACTGCAGCCAAACGACATATTTCTCATCACAATCAGCAAATGACGTGAACGAAATGTCATTGTATGGAAAAAACGGAGTTTTAAATCATTGTGCATTCAACTTTGAACAAAGACACACTTTGAAAGCATTTGAAATAAATAGAATCTGTAACCATTTTAACAATAATCAAACATAAAATGTAAAACTTCTTTCTGTCGTTTTCTCTTGAGAGATTTTTAAAATAAATGTCGCATTTACATTGCACACTTGTTTATAACTACTATTTAATTTTGTTTTAAGGTAAATGTTGGTAATGACATAATGTAAAAATAAATAAATCGCTTTGCCTTTACTTATTTAACAGAGTAAAATAATTGTTCAGATAAGTTCGTTATCCTTCATTGCCTAATACCAGACAGTCTGATCTTCGATTGTTTCGACCTTCACAAAAAGTTTGGGATTTTTATATGTCAAAATCGACACAATTTTCAAATTATTTGTGCTCTGGGAAAACCCATCTGTGAGACCGAGAATTCAATCAATATTATGTATAATGGTTATCGGGTCATTTATCAGTACTTTATCTAAAACCATGTTTAATTTTATGTATTAATTAATGCCATAATCATGTTTTAAGTAAACTGATTCAACCGAAATTAAAATGGTATGAGATATATTGAACACAGAGAGAGTGTAAAGTTTCTATTAGAGACATATTTGAAGATTCATTTTCCGATCCCATGTCTTCATAATGTTCTGCGAAGGACGTAAAAACTGTGTGTGAGATTTTGGTAACTACCACTTCTTTCACAAGTAATCTTACTGGACAGAGCTTATACATCAAAACTTGGAAAATCTAAATTACAAATCTTCTAATGTTGTCTACGGAATAGAATGTGATATTTGTGAACTTATCTATGTTGGCGAAACCAATGGTTTTCTTCATAAAAGAATATCGGGGTACAGATTTCAAATTAACAACGGGGGACAACAGCATTTCTACAAGCACTTTGTTAATGAAAGTTACAATTCTAGAAAAAAAATTTCACCATACAAACAGTCAAATACTGAGTACACTTTTCCGCAGACAACGAGAAGAATTATGGATTATAAAACTAGGGACAACCTAGTGTTGGGAATCTTTTCAGTCCATAGTGTAACAATGTAAATTTGCTGGAACTTTTTAACCATACACAGAGACGTAAGCGTAGTCATGGGCATCGGTCTTACAATAAACTTTCAATACACCTCTTTTTACTACCTTATGCAAATCAAGTCAAGTCTGCATCATATTCACACAAAACTTTACTCTGTCCCCTTGAAACTTTTAAATAGTTTACTCGAAAAGGTCAAAGAAAGTCCATATTTTGATTCCTCGACACCAGTGTACAGGCTCGGATCTGTGATTATGGATATTGCAAATCATAGTCTTCTTACAACGCCACGTTTAACAGAAGGACATGCGGCTTAAGCAATCCGTTTTTTCTTAAACTGCAATATGCCTGCAAAAGAATTGTCGCGGTAAATATTGGTAATATTCTTCATCACAACAGGGTTCAGTCCTGTATTCCACCATATTTCAAGTTAAAGACAATATCATGTATTTCCTACAAATATACATAGACTATTGCTTCAAACCTTTGAATTACATGGAAACTTTACAGAGCCTTGATATCGAATATTTGAAACATAATCCTCCTTCCTGTTCATGTTCTTCTTCACCTTACAACTTTAGTCCTGCTGGTCATGTTATTACTGTTGACGTAAATATAGTAAAATGATGAGGACCTTATCACTAATTTTAAAAGGGACAAAATTTAGGGAATCCCGATCATTTGACCGGCGTCATAATTTCACAAATGTAGTGGATTCTGTTGAAGATTACGCCAGGCGACGGGTAAAATATGGAAAAGAAGAGAAGACCTTGACACGTTGTCAGAATGGATAAAATGTTTCAGATGCGCCGAATTTTCGATGGATAGGAGCACACGGCTGGTGTGACCTGTCGTTTCGGGATGCTCACTCCTCCATGGCACCTGATCACACCTCTGTTTTGGAGACCTGTGATTGCTCCTATTTTGTATTGTTTAATGGACTTTTGAGCTTGAATTGTGTTCGTTTTCTCCGTATATTTCACAGAATTCTTGATATTTTTGAAAATTATGACACCAGTTGAAGATCGAAGTTCACTTAGCTTTGGTTCTTTCAAAGTAAGTGATAAAAGGTCCTCAATATTTTCGACGTTTGCGTCACCAGCAATGACGTTTCAAGCAGTACAATAGTTGTAGGGAGATGACGAACATATACACATTTAAGGATTATGTTTCAGATGTTCGACATCTTGGAAAAAATCCCGATATAAAAAAAAAATAGTCACGTTTCTATGTTTTCTTAAAAATGAATATGCATATTTTTTTTGTATTTTTCATTCAAAGTGTTACAATAATATTAATGAAATTCAAAGTGAGAAAAAGCCGTATAGATGGCTGCAGAAAACTAGAATTTTGAACATTGTTGAAACTAGAAAGTTTATAATTTCTTGATATTTCAGTTATTATTCACATAATTTACAATCAAAATATATACCCAGCCATAGAACCGGGTTTTCTTTCTTTAATCTACCCTTGAAAAGTTTGGAAGCAATCTGATTTAGAATATCTCTTATATTGACTGTGTCAATTCCATGGTGTGCCTATTGGGGTTTAGAGTAATAAGGGGCTGTCAAAAATTTGAACAATATTTTCTACGTTGAAACAAGGCGTTTAAAAAAAAACGAATGAATTGCAGAATCCGTGCTCATAAATCTTAGATTGTCTTCTGGTGTCGAAGAATCTATAGATATGAATTTTCCTTGATTTTTTCAAATAGATGTTTATATGATGTTGATATCAAAAAGATGCTTGAGTTTCTGATTGACAATATCTCTGTCGTTTTTGGAGACCAGGTCTTCTAACAATCTAAATTGGAATTCTCATGGGTACCAATTACACCCCGTTATTAGCAGACGTATTTTAGTATTCAATGAAGCAAAATTTGTCCAAATCTTATACATGAAAAGAAAAAAGCAATTGCTGAGGTCTTCAATTCGACATTTAGCTATATCGACGACGTATTGTCAATTAACAATTATTATAAAATTTTCCATACTTATGCCGATACGATATATCTAGGCGAGCATGAGATAAAAGATACCACAGAGTCTGACACATCTGTTTCATATTTGGATATTTTACTTGAAAAAAGACGTTAATGGTAATCTAACAACCAAGCTCTATGATAAAAGTGATGACTTTAACTTTTCTATCGTCAACTTCCCTTACTTATGCAGCAATATACCTTCATAACCCGCATACGGAGTTTATATATCTCAGTTTATTCGTATGAACAATTTCTAAAATGAGGTAAATTATTCACAAACAAGTTGCTGAAACAAGAATTTCAGAAGGCTCGTTTAAAGTCATCATTTCGTAAGTTCTATGGTCGATACAATGACCTTGTCAGCAAATACATTTTATCATTGAGTAAAATGCTGACAGACGTTTTTCATACTAATTGTTAGTCCATGATTTATACACTGAATTAACTACGGATTTTTCCGTTATTTCCCTATCATGACAAGGATCACCGGTCGGCAGGGGATGCCCACTCCTCCATGGCACCTGATCCCACCTCTATTGTTTTGGAGGTCTGCGTTTGCTCTGCTCCTATTTTGTATTGTTTAACGGACTTTTGATGTTGAATATTGTTATATCCACATGTTTCATTAAAGCTTTCATAGGTAAGTTTGGTGCCAATGTGATGAAGACATAATTGCTTATCTACATAAGTTAGCAGTGAATCAAAATGACATCTTGTATAGTAGGTTTGTTGTA